AACAAAAATATTTACAAAACAAATGTATCGCAATGATTGAGATGGTTAATATTTGAACTTAGATTTAATTTTCAGAAACCTCTAATTTTTTCCATCCGCTCAGAAACTGTCCGTTAATATTGTCAAGGTAAGATAATTAGAAAAAAAAAACAAAGTCAACAGATTGCTTACAGCCCCACGCATCGCTGGACTCCAAGGGAAAGATGGTATCTCACCTGGAAATTTGAAAAGAAAAAATGTCCAGCGTCCTGAAATTAATTAAGATCATGATTAGATTGATTTTTTTTTGTTTATTTTTCGTTTTCAAAATACATGGGGCCGCGCCTCCTACTTAAGTACATTAGTACTGTTTATTCTATTTGTATCAACACTCCTACAGTCCAATTACACAAAAAGGCGGAATATTTTCGTAATGTTTAACGACCTACTTGTAACATTAACCTTCCCCCCCCCCCCCATGTCACACATCATCACACCAAGCTTGACCCCTACTCCCATACTCCCACCCCCAAGTTTGTGTCACGGTCCAATTATGACACAAACCCTGAATACACCTAAAGTCAGCCATAATCCCCTTATCCGTTAAAAGTACAAACTTGAATCATTTAACCTACCCATAACGCCCACCGGAGTTCGTGTAAACTTACCTGAAATAGCCCGCGCATTTACCGTCAGCTACGGTAATTGAATAGGTCCACATTCTACCTTTTCTTCCTGTTCAGTGGGGAGGGGTACTATCAGGTCTGCCTACAAAGTCACTGAACCATCACACATGCTTCACTCGTCCACCCCCACGATACGGATCGCTGAGTTTCTGCTGATGGAAAAAATACCCGGTGACCTTGATCTATTTTTAGCACGTGATGACATTTTCTGGGCGTGTAAGAAAATAACCCGTCTGGTCTGTTAGTGAGAACTTGTACGTGTCAATTAGCTGTACCTTACTATCAGTGGCGTAGCGAGGTCGGGGTGTCACCCGGTGCGGCACTTAGGGGTGTCACCCCCAGAGGGGTGTCACCATTCCCGGGGACAAACTTTCAACGTTTCAATTTGCAACCCCCCCCCCCTCTCAAACTTTCGATTTTGCAACCCCCCCCCCCCCCCGTCAAAACTGTTGATTTTGTCGATTTGCACCCCCCCCTCCCCCCCCCCTCAAACTTTCGATTTGCATCCCCCCCCCCCCTCAAGTTTTTCTCTCTATATTTTGCTATTTTTTTGCCTTGGTGTCACCCCCCCCCCCCCCCCCCTAAATGGTGTCATCCGGTGCGTTCCGCACTCCCCCCCCCCCCCCCCCCCCCCCCGCTACGCCTCTGCCTACTATACATGATGTTAATAATGCTATAAAAAGTAATAAAAGATACGCAAACCATTACAGTAAACATATTAACATAAACGTCATGGTAAATAAAAACATTAACCATAATAATAATAGTAATCAAAGCCATCTTTCAAACCTTGACATCCCCTAAATCTCACCACACCCACACCACCCCTTCCCCACACCCCCTGCTCCACGCCGTTGATGTTATTTATATTTGACATCAAGTCACTTCCGTTTTGTTCCTTAAGCATCGTCCCTCGTGATCAGGCCAGTCCCAATGTCAAGGCCGTCAACCCATCTGAATGCTACCTCTAGGTGTAGCTCGACCCATAAGTGAACATCCTATTTTTCATTTTTTAAAAAGAAGTCAAAATACAAACAAGCAAAAACAATAACCTGTTCCGAAAAATTCAAGTTACAATTTGCTTACCCTTGTAGAACTCTGCACTGAAATAAATGAATTCTATCACAACTCAGCAGTCTAAAGCGAAACTACACGACGTAATACTTTGTCGTAATGATGTTCATCTAAATGTATTTTAGCCCAATTATGTTTTACAGCTTTTTAAAGTTAAAGATGTACAAAGGCGTTATTTTGGGTGTTTTGTCGACTCCACCCTAGCGAAGCTCCGCCCCTGTTCAAGGTTTCTTTCAGACATTTTTTCCATGTGGGAGTTGGCGGTGGTGGGGGTACTTGATTCCAGAGGGTGTGTGCTGGTCAGATGTAAAGGTGAGTGATGTAAGGGTGGGGATGGGGGTGAGGGTTGAAAGGGTGGGGGAGAGGGTTTAGTGGGTGGGGGTGAGGGTGAGGGTTCACTGGGTGGGGGTGAGGGTTTAGTGGGTGGGGGTTAGGGTTGAGTGGGTGGGGGTGAGGGTTCACTGGGTGGGGGGTGAGGGTGAGAGTTAAGTGGGTGGGGGGTTAACGTTGAGCGGGGGGGAGGGTTTAGTGGGTGGGGGGTGAGGGGTTCACTGGGTGGGGGGTGAGGGTTTAGTGGGTGGGGGGTTAGGGTTGAGTGGGTGGGGGTGAGGGTTCACTGGGTGGGGGTGAGGGTGAGGGTTAAGTGGGTGGGGATTAACGTTGAGCGGGGGGGAGGGTTTAGTGGGTGGGGGGTGAGGGTTCACTGGGTGGGGGGTGAGGGTTTTAGTCGGTGGGGGGTTAGGGTTGAGTGGGTGGGGGGTGAGAGGTTCACTGGGTGGGGGTGAGGGTTTAGTGGGTGCGGGTTAGGGTTCAGTGAGTGGGGGGTGAGGGTTTAATGGGTGGGTGGTGGGGGTTTTAGTGGGTGGGGGTTAGGGTTCACTGGGTGGGGGGTGAGGGTTAAGTGGGTGGGGGTTAGGGTTCACTGGGTGGGGGGTTAGGGTTTAATTAATGGGGGGTGATGTGTGGGGATATTGACCTGCTCCCCAGAGACGTCTGAAGGCAACACTGCGCCTGTCTGAGGGAGAATCAACTCGGTCCACTACTGTGACCTTGACCCATGTTTTAAATCCATGCCCTGTTCCTGTTACTCTTTAAGACCTACCAAGCCAGACTAACATTGCTTGCTTTTACATCCAAACCTACCCGTACAACACACTCCAAACAAAGCCAAACAGATAATCATATCAAAATAACAAGATATAAACCTCGCCTCAAATCAAAACCAACACTTTGTTATTGTTTACTTTATTTATCGGTTAATCTACAACATGGCTGTCTGTTATGTTTATTGTGTCTCAGGACATTACTTATTTTTTAGACACAAAAAAGTAATCTACCAAAGCGTACTATTAGTGCTATAAGGATAACAAATATAGAGTGATAACATAGTATAGAACCTTGAAGGTAAGCTATCTAACAGTGCATAAGTTAATGTGTTGAAATGCAGAGAGAAATGCAGGGCAGATAAGTTAGCGAGCACTACATACGGATTATTATCGAGGGACCTGTGTTTCTTACATTATAAGGACAACGTAAACTTGACTAAACCTACACAAATATAAAATTCTGCCCCCCCCCCCCCCCTCCAACAATCTGCGATCCGGATAGTTCCGTTTGTCCGCTCCCGGGAGGAACGATAACGATAAATATTTTTGTTATGCTTGTGACAATTTGTTATTGTTTTTAATTAACATGACGTGAGGTGTTTTGGGTATATGTGTGTTTGGTGTGTTTAGACGTTTGTGTATGTGTTGTGAGATGGAGTCACACTTTTGTGTGTTAAACTTATGTCCTAATATGTGCGGGTACGTGAACTCTATGTGTTTATGTTAGGGGATGAGTTACACTTGTGTATGTTAAACTTGCTGTACTAGTGTAAAGGGTACATGAACTCTATGTGTATGTGTTAGGGGATGGGGTTAGAATTGTGTATGTTAATTTACTGCCGTAGTTTGTGCGGGTACGTGAACTCTATGTGTATGTGTGTGCATGTGGGGGGTGGGGTTACACTTGTGTATGTCAAACTAACTGCCCTAGTTTGTGTGGGTGCATGAACTCTATGTGTATGTGTATGTGAGAAATGTTGTGATGAATAAGGGGGGAGTCACCTTAGGGCAACAATTCACCTTGTCGCAGGCTGTTAGTAAACATTAGGTCATAAGTGAACAGTCGTCACCCACACAGTGATAAGTGAAAACAGCTTTTTTGAACACATCCGACAAGCTAGATTTAACTACCCAGTGGTTCTAACTCCATTTATTTAAATACCCCACAGAATTTTAAATTCTCAACATGATTTATAACAGTCTAGATACTCTACCTTTAACTATTCAGTAGTTCTAACTCTATTTATTATAATAACCCACAGAGTTTTATATTCTCAACTTGATTAAAAACAGTTCAACAAATACAAATATTATTGTTTACAGATGTTAAAAAAGTTTGTATAGAAATATAAGAAAAGTAAAAAAACAAGTTAAAATTAATGTCTTATGTTTTCTCAAAAAAAACGTCGAGTTAACATAAGTTTCCTTACTATAGATTTAAAAAAAAATCAAATTTAGCAATTTAACCAAAATTCGAAATGTAAGTATGAATCAATTGTTATAAATCAAAATGAAACAACTCAGCAAATACAAATAACAAGTGCTAGAGTTGTGATATTAAAATTTTACGATCATCAATTATGCTTGTAATTACACAGTAGTTTACATAAATTTGATTCACGTAGTGAAGACAGATTAACATCGAACAGTGGCGTAGCGAGGTCGGGTGTCACCCGGTGCGGCACTTAATGGTGTCACCCCCCAGAAGCGTTGCGACCCTTCCGGGGACAACTTTCAATTTTCGATTTGCACCCCCCCCCCCCCCCTCAAATTTTCGATTTTGCACCCCCCCCTCAAGGTTTTCTCTATATATTTTGCCATTTTTTGCCTTGGTGTCACCCCCCCCTAAATGGTGTCACCCGGTGCGGTACGCACCCCCCCGCCCCCCCCCCCCCCCCCCCGCTACGCCTCTGACAAGGAAGTAAAAGATCAGGAATGTAAGTCAACCTAAACGATGATATAAGGATATAAGTAACGAAACATATTTTAAATATATATATATATATATATATATATATATATACATATATATATATACATATATATATATATATATATATATATATATATAAATATATATATATATATATATATATATATTATATATATATATATATGTAACTACAATGTACAGTATATGTGTTAATGTAAAGTAGTAAAATGCATATACACTATCTAAATCACAGGGTCAAATGCAGAATTCATTCACTTAAACACAGTTTAAAAAAGAAAAAGCCAAAATGTTATTGTATAAACCCTTTGTTGTCATGCCCTTTTCCTGCATGTTCTGTCTTCTCGTGACTGTCCTGCCCTCGGATCTCAGGTTCGTCCTTGACCCTTGCTGGGTTGTCGGTGTTCAGGGTGAAGCTGTCGACCTCCCTGTAGATGTCTGGTATGTGGTGGTCCTTCTTGTCGTTTGGGAACCACTCCTTGGTGGGCTGGAACATGAGCCTAGACCACTGGAAGAGAAGGTGTGAAACGGTTAATTCACCTGTCGTATAATTATCTCACCGGTCGTATAATTAACTCACCTGTCGTGTAATTATCTCACCGGTCGTATAATAAACTCACCTGTCGTATAATTAACTCACCTGTCGTATACATAATTCACCTGTCGTATAATTAACTCACCTGTAGTATATATAAATAGCTGGTCCTATACTTGGGGGGGACGGAGTGAGCAACAAGTGTACTCTACTTCACTTGCCTTATAGACCGTCAGGTTTGAAAAGGGAACTTTACTTTTCTTTTTTTTTGGTCATATACTTAACTCACCTTCACATAGTTAACTCACCTGTTATGTAATTATACCAAGTGTCGTGTATTTGACACATCTGACATACATTTAACTAACCTGCCGTATAATTAACTTACCTGTCATACATTTAAATCGCCTGTCATATACTTAACTAACCTGTCATATACTTAATTCACCTGTCATATACTTAATTCACCTGTCCTATACTTAACTCACATGTTCTATACTTAACTCATCTGTCGTATACTTAACTCACCTGTCGTATACTTAACTCACCTGTCGTATACTTAACTCACCTGTCGTATACTTAACTCACCTGTCGTATATTAGTTACCCCAGGATCTCTGAATGACGTAAAAGCCTTCCACAAGAACCAGAGAGGGATGGGGCACAGGACAGCGGTCAGTAGTGTCCAGCCAATGGCCTGAGCAAACAATGGGAACGGTACCCCGGGGCTGTAGGTGGGTGGCTTGTAGCGGATCATACGGTACAGGAACAGCGCCTGGGGTGGGGGGGGGGGGGGGGAAGGAGAGTTAGTGTGATTTTATACAGCCATGTACAGTAATTGTTGCATTAGAGTAATGTATTTTGTCATATTTATATTTTAAACAGTCGAAATAGTGAGATTATACTATTAATACTGTGATTAGAGATCTGCGTTACTGTTGTTAAAAAAGAAAACATGTTTTGTTGGCATACATCCTATGTGTTGTCAAATGTGAGGGTATAAAATATAATTTTATAAAAAAAATTATCGAAAATCTATTTATGTTTTAAAACCGACACTTGAAAATTTATTTTAATTTGATTTTTTTCTTGCATAATATGCATTGCTTTGTGCACATTTGTTTCACGTTTCTTAAGCCAAAGCATTTCATATTTTAAAATGTATAACAACTAATTTTATAAATAAAACAGACTCATTTTTTCTCTCCACTTATAATACACAAAGATTTACATAGTGTTAAAATCTATTATTGTATTATAGTGTTAAAATCACTAATATTGTAATAGGTTTGAGAAACCTTATCTATGTTTTTAAAACTCTATTGTAAACATACAACCCTCCACTTACCGCAATGAGGAGGGGAGCAGAAAAAGACCAGCAGAAGATCCAGTATGGCCAGCCGTGGGGCTTGGCACCCAGCATGTACTTGATGTCGTTGAAGAACCGCATCACGCCTGCATTTAGAATCACATTGGAACATATTTGGTTTGAATATTTCAATAGTAAAACGGGCGTCATAAAAGGTTCAGCAACGTGAAATGAAAAGGGTAAGGAACTCAAACTCTAGCGAAGAACTTTGTCAAAGCATTGCATACTATATTCGTAGCTCTCGTTTCTTGTTGTTGATAATTAATAAAAATTTTATTTTAAAAATGTATGTAATTTTTTTATCTCAAAAATTGATTAATCCTAATATTTGAATTCCTTTTAAGGCTAAATTTATTAAAATAAATAAATTCAGTTTTAAAATGTATGTCCGCTGATAACAGTGTTTACAGAGTATGTACGTGGTGTATGAAAAGAGCGCTCATCTAAAGAACTCACCATAGACCCACATAACAGAAACCACCTCACAAAAAGCTAAAATCAGAACAGAAAAGTCGGCGCCATAATGGTCCATTATAGTCACGACATAGTCTCCGCCCTGTAATACGAAAACAATTTTTAAAAATGTTTTAGTTTGTTGAGTAAAATGGTATTTTGGTGATCGGGAAGATGAGCAACGGAAAACTGCGGACAAACAAAAGGTGCGAAGAATGACCGTATTATGTGCATTGTAGCATAATTAAATAGTTTTCCACGTAAAATAGTAAAATTAAAGTGTATTAGTTTAATTAGTATGTATTAATGCATTTTGTTCCTGTTTGCGCACTTTTCCATTTGCGCATGTTAACTGGGAACCGATATTTTATACTATCGCACAACAGAGTGACTGAGTGGTCTAGCGGTAGAGAGCTGGACTGCTAACCCGTAAGTCTCGATTTCGAATCCAGGTTCAAGTCAGTAATCCGTCCTTGAGTCCACCCAACTCTGATGGGTACCTAACTAACGTTAGGGAAAGTAAAGGCGGCTGGGCATAGCGCTGACCACACTATCTCTTCATATGCCGAAGTCACAGAAACAAGTGAACTCTACTTCACTTGCCCCATAGACCGTCAGGTTTGAAAGGGAAACTTTACAACAGAGTGAAATGATGAATAGCTTTATTTTGATTATTACAATATTTAAAGAGACCAGGGGCGTAGCGAGGGGGGGGGGGGGGGGCGGGTGGTGCGGGGGGTGCGGACCGCACCGGGTGACACCATTCAGGGGGGTGACACCAAGGCAAAAAATAGCAAAATATATAGAGAAAAACTTGAGGGGGGGGGTGCAAATCGAAAGATTGAGAGGGGGGGGGGGGTGCAAATCGACAACTTGAGGGGGTGCAAATCGAAAGTTTGAGGGGGGGGGGGGTGCAAATCGAAAACTTGAAAGTTTGTCCCCGGGAAGGGTCACTACGCCTCTGGGGGGTGACACCATTAAGTGCCGCACCGGGTGACACCCGACCTCGCTACGCCACTGAAAGAGACCCACAACAATTGACAAAAACGACCGAAAATCTACAACCTGAGTTGAACTTTGACCTTTGACTTACAGGGCACGTGCACGGCAAGGCCAGCAAGAAACAGGCCACAGCGAAGCCAATACACATGTACCTCTTGTACTTCCGCGTCTTGGGGAACTCGTCTTGTATGCACGTCATTACAGTCTCGATAAAAGCGAACTGTAGGAGGAGGGATTAGCGTTAGAGTTAACTGTATGCGGAGGGGTTAGCTTAGGTTGAATTGTAGGATGAGTGATTAGCGTTAGGTTTATTTGTAGGATAAGGGATTAGCGTTAGGTTTAATTGTAGGATAAGGGATTAGCGTTAGATTTAATTGTGGGATGGCGGATTAGCTTTAGATTTAACTTTAGGATGAGTGATTAGCATTAGGATTAAAAATTGGATGAGGGATTAGCGTTAGGTTTAACTTTATGATGAGGGATTAGCGTTATGTTTAACTGTATGATGAGGGATTAGCGTTAGATTTAACTGTAGGATGAGTGATAAGCATTAGGATTAAAAATTGGATGAGGGATTAGCGTTAAGTTTAACTGTACGATGAGAGATTAGCGTTAGTGTTACGTTTACGGTTACGGGTGAGTCTTTACGTTTTAAATCATATAATCAGAACAATTCAAAACTTATGTAAAAGTATGAATATTTTAATGATAGGTTTAAAACAATATTTAAAAAAATGAAAATTGTCATAGACTCATTTAAATACATAGGCCTATATTGTGATTCTGCTATTGACTTTTTTTATCCAACTATATTTTTACTTGTGATCTTAGCTATTTGAATATAAGCAGATGTTAATACGGTGAAAATGTTTGTCCTGCAAATCAAGAGATTAAGGAAGTGATGTGTATTCAGGAGCTGAGTAGGCCTACTCAGGTACAAATACAGCCAATCTTGACCTAACTCATTGATCAAGCTTGACCTAACTAAGATCTACATAGACATACATCTGCGATAAACATTGTCCTAACTCTGTGATGTAGCTTGACCTGAGTTTAACCTTGATCAACCTAGATCAACCTTGACCTACCTCTGAGTCCAGCCCCAGCGTAAAGAGCATGAAGAAGAACAGAATGGACCACAGCTGTGAGGGGGGTAGGTTGGACAAGGCTTCAGGGTAGACAACAAACGCCATCCCGTAGCCTGGGAATTGAAAACAAACACACACGATCGTTACATCAAATCTGTAAAATACAGCTCAGACCAGGAGGTATAAAAAATACAGATGAACAAATGTTTTTAGTTCCTATAACAGTTCAACCTTCTTGAATGTTTAAATATATGTTATGTCAACAGTATTTTTTTTGTTTAGTTATGTCTTGAGTAATCTACTTCACACATACGACTTACCGCCTGATGCAACCTCCGAAACTTTTTTGCCGACGATCTTGGCCATGCCGCCATATGTGGTGAAGACGACGAAACCCGCTATAACGCTGGTGATGAGATCCATCATGCTTATAATCAGCGAGTCACTGTTGAGGAGGGAGGATGGGGGAGGGGAGTGGGTGGGAATAAGTTAATAACTACATACGATTTTCGGAGACTTAACTTTCAGTTTTATTCACAGGGGACTGTAATTTTAATAAGAGCTTAAACTTGCTACCACGACCGGTCACTACGGTGACGATATTTGATGATTCACATGTATGTGGCACATTCTGGTGATACATATTTTGGTGACACATATCCTAGTTACACAAATCCTGGTAATACATCTTGACATATCTTGGTGACACATCTTTGACACATGTCATGGTGATACTAATCTTTGTAAAACAACTTGGTAATACACCGTGGTGACACATCTGGATGACACATCTTGGTGACACATATTATGGTGACACTGATCTTAGTAAAACAACTTGGTAATACATCTTGGTGACACATCTGGATGACACATCTTGGTGACACATATTATGGTGACACTGATCTTAGTAAAACAACTTGGTAATACATCTTGGTGACACATCTGGATGACACATCTTGGTGACACATATTATGGTGACACTGATCTTAGTAAAACAACTTGGTAATACATCTTGGTGACACATCTGGATGACACATCTTGGTGACACATATTATGGTGACACTGATCTTAGTAAAACAACTTGGTAATACATCTTGGTGACACATCTGGATGACACATCTTGGTGACACATATTATGGTGACACTGATCTTAGTAAAACAACTTGGTAATACATCTTGGTGACACATCTGGATGACACATCTTGGTGACACATATTATGGTGACACTGATCTTAGTAAAACAACTTGGTAATACACCGTGGTGACACATCTGGATGACACATTGTGGTGACACCTCTATTGGTGACAAAGTATACCGACACACAGACACATCAGAATAAAACAAATTGTGATGAGTCTAGTGAACTCAACATAATGTTGAAAAGTAAAAAAACAAAAAGAATGTTTGTTCGCGGTATGAAGGTGTACGATACTAAGCAAATGATCAGCTTCAACAGTATGATCTTTCTTTCGTTTGTACGTCAGACACATGGGGCAGATGAAGTAGAGCTCATCTGTTTCATTGACCTCGGCCTATGAGGGATATTGTGGCCAGCACTATGCCCAGTCGTGTTTCTCTAACATGTGCCAGGTACCCATCAGAGCTGGATAGACTCAGAAACTTTCGGGATTCGAACTCGAGACTTTCGGGAAAGCAATCGTAAGCTCGACCTTGCTAACAATACGATGATATAAAACACTCACTAGTAGACCATAATACAAGACTCACTAGACCACACGACCAGATTCACGAGACCACAATACAAGACTCACTAGACCACACGACCAGATTCACGAGACCACAATACAAGACTCACTAGACCACACGACCAGATTCACGAAACCACAATACAAGACTCACTAGACCACACGACCAGATTCACGAGACCACAATACAAGACTCACTAGACCACACGACCAGATTCACGAGACCATAATACAAGACTCACTAGACCACACGACCAGATTCACGAGACCATAATACAAGACTCACTAGACCACACGACCAGATTCACGAGACCATAATACAAGACTCACTAGACCACACGACCAGATTCACGAGACCATAATACAAGACTCACTAGTAGACCATGTTGTTGAACTTGTTGTAGCTACCAAACATGATGATACCACCAAAGGACACGCCCAGGGAGAAGAACATCTGACCAGCAGCGGCCACCCACACCTGCATCACGTGACCAAAATTGTCAAGTTTTGTAAACAATGAAATCGTCAATGGTCAACAATTAATCATTAACTTTACTGTTATAGACAGGAAAAGTTTTTGTTTACCTGAATGTCCTTGAGCTTCTCCCAGTCTGGGATGATAAAAAAATCCACACCATCTTTAGCACCATCCAGCAGAGCACCACGGACCAGGAGGATGAGGAGGATGACGTAGGGGAAGGTGGCAGTGAAGTAGACCACCTGGTGGTAGAGACAGGTGTATGGCGTCATGATGGGTGGTTGGGGGACTTTTTGGTTAGGGGAAGGTGGCGGTGAAGTAGACCACCTGGTGGTAGAGACACATTTATAGCGTCTGGCTGCGGTTGGGGGACTTTTGGGTTAAGTTTAGGGAAATGCTGGGGCTTCGAGCTAGTTGGTTAGAGGACTTTGACATTAGGGACATATGACGGTTTTTCACTTTTTGGTTATGGGACTTGACACTAAGACACTTGGGGAATATGACGGTGAAGCAGACCAAATGTGGGTGGCCACAGACTGATGTCACGATTAAGTCATAGTTTAGTAAAGCTATAGGAACATTGCTCCAATGATATAGAATGTTGATTGTGTTTGGGGTAGTTATAGAACTGGGTGAAGCCAGGTGCTTTTTATCAGTGTAGAAACTGTTTGGGCTGTATGGGACTCTCTCATCTAACTGACCCCGTCATGTAGATCAATACAAATTCAAACGATCCTTGGTAATATAAGAATAGTTTGTAGACACGAATCGCAGTCACGCTTAATAAATCGTCTCGACTGCTTTCTATTATTTGCTAATCCTTAAAACAGAAAGTATTTTTCGCCAATATAAAAATAGGTAAACATTAAAATAAATATTTTTATGGGCACAGTTTTATGGTATTAAAGTAATTTTAATTTATTATTAACAAGATAGCAAATGAGCATGATGATTTGCACGTGTATATCATATACAAGGGCACTAACCTTGCCTGAACTTTTGATTCCCTTGATCAAGCAGATGACGACGATGATCCAGGAGAGGATGAGACAGAGAACAATCTTCCAGAGTGGGGAGCCCATGAACATGGGGTCAACGCCCTCAGACTTCTGGATGACCTCCTTACTGTGGATAACAACATCAATGTAATTAGAATCAGGCGATCACAGTTCGTTTTATTTAGATTTTCAAAGCGTTGCCGATGAAATACTTTCCTCTAAATCTTTGTGTTTCAAATCTAAACAAAATAATTTTAATTATAAACATTTATTTACCAAGATTCTAAACGTATTCTGGGTAACATTTTATCACTCCTATTTCTACAATCTACATCATAATCATTCATTAATTAATATATGGATGTCTATATACAACGGTAAGACATGGTATTTGGTTCTTTTAACATTTTTATAACACCGTAGACGGTGGCTCTTGGAGAAAATTATACAAGGGTTATGTGAATATCGTATTGTATCACATTTCACAGTGTCGCAAGTTTAAATCGCCTTTTGGTTAAATTAATTCAGGGGTGGGATGGGTTTACAATCGCGAGACCACTAGTTTTGGCTTAATGATAATCCAGACTAATCCGCTTTGGATCCAGTCAAACTATAAGTCAATCGTGATCAAATCTGACTTAGGAGACGTGCTGACACACTCACTAGAAGTATAAGTCAGCCGGTGACTTGGACGTCCTAGGCTCCATACACGTCATGTTGAAAGGCATGGCAATGAGCGTGTCGTTGGTACACAGGCACCGCCCCATCATTTGATTGGTTGTCATGTTGTCCGTGCAGCTCTTCAATGGCGGCTCTTGGCTCGATATACAGTTGTAGTCTCGTTTCCATTCCTGGCAGGAGGTATTGAGAGTTGGAACAGAGGATTAGAAATATATCTAACGCAAGGACCTATAAGCAGACATGATAAATTGAATATTTTATACATTATTTCTGGAATTTATTAAAACTAAGTCATAATATAAATTAATTTATAACAAAAGAGTAGGGGGTCGGCGTGGTCGAGTCGGTAAAGCTCACGGTTGCAACCGAAAAATCTCGAGTTCGAAACCTCGGGCAGATGAGGCTCGTTAGCTGGGGAAACCCCAAAATCAAACAACTGCTGACTTGTAGCTTTTTCTTGGTTGGACAAGAGGCTATGGAAGCAAATCCAAAAAGAAAAGCCGGCTGAAATCGGAGTCAATGGCCTCAATAGCGCATAACCAGTTGACACGTATCCTTAAGTGTGATGGAAGCGTGGTCGAGTCTGCCAAAGCTAATGGTTGATAAATACGAAAAACTCTCGAGTTCAAACCCTCTGGCAGATAAGGCTCGATCCCCTCCAACACTAAAAATTAAGAACGAAGAAGAAACAAAAGATTTACAAAATGTTTAGGAAACCATACACAGAAATATTATTTTCAAGGTGTATAATTTTTACTAATAAAACTTGTTTAAAAACTTTTTAAATTTATATATTTTTTGTAAAGAGCCACCATCTTAACTAAAGAGTTCTTGCGATTTCAGGGCCACATTCGGTCAGCCACTGAAAGAAATAAATGATTATATAAATCACCTTGGCTACTTAGATTATGGTATACACATTTATTTTAGAATTAGTTCCATGCTCAGCCATTTTCATGTTTTTACAAACTTTTACTCAGGGCCCAGTGTGTGTGAGTTTTTTTTTGTTTAAATCTTGTTACTCAGTTTCGCCCCACCTCAAATACATAAGTTTACGATGGCCACGTGCGGATCTTTAACTGTCATTATAAGTTATGTTATGATTTAGTGGTGGTTTGGTTCAAATCACAATGTAGGGTCTATTTTTCATTATAAGTTATGTTATGATTTAGTGGTGGTTTAGTTCAAATCACAATGTAGGGTCTATTTTTCATTATAAGTTATGTTATGATTTAGTGGTGGTTTAGTTCAAATCACAATGTAGGGTCTATTTTTCATTATAAGTTATGTTATGATTTAGTGGTGGTTTAGTTCAAATCACAATGTAGGGTCTATTTTTCATTATAAGTTATGTTATGATTTAGTGGTGGTTTAGTTCAAATCACAATGTAGGGTCTATTTTTCATTATAAGTTATGTTATGATTTAGTGGTGGTTTAGTTCAAATCACAATGTAGGGTCTATTTTTCATTATAAGTTATGTTATGATTTAGTGGTGGTTTAGTTCAAATCACAATGTAGGGTCTATTTTTCATTATAAGTTATGTTATGATTTAGTGGTGGTTTAGTTCAAATCACAATGTAGGGTCTATTTTTCATTATAAGTTATGTTATGATTTAGTGGTGGTTTAGTTCAAATCACAATGTAGGGTCTATTTTTCATTATAAGTTATGTTATGATTTAGTGGTGGTTTAGTTCAAATCACAATGTAGGGTCTATTTTTCATTATAAGTTATGTTATGATTTAGTGGTGGTTTAGTTCAAATCACAATGTAGGGTCTATTTTTCATTATAAGTTATGTTATGATTTAGTGGTGGTTTAGTTCAAATCACAATGTAGGGTCTATTTTTCATTATAAGTTATGTTATGATTTAGTGGTGGTTTAGTTCAAATCACAATGTAGGGTCTATTTTTCATTATAAGTTATGTTATGATTTAGTGGTGGTTTAGTTCAAATCACAATGTAGGGTCTATTTTTCATTATAAGTTATGTTATGATTTAGTGGTGGTTTAGTTCAAATCACAATGTAGGGTCTATTTTCCATTATAAGTTATGTTATGATTTAGTGGTGGTTTAGTTTAAATCACAATGTAGGGTCTATTTTTCATTATAAGTTATGTTATGATTTAGTGGTGGTTTAGTTTAAATCACAATGTAGGGTCTATTTTTCATTATAAGTTATGTTATGATTTAGTGGTGGTTTAGTTTAAATCACAATGTAGGGTCTATTTTTCATTATAAGTTATGTTATGATTTAGTGGTGGTTTATATTAAATCACAATGTAGGGTCGTCTAAGCTAATACAGTTGAAGAATGCTTAAGGCTAATTGTAAATTTTTATTGAGCCAAGCTGCTATTCTATCTTGTTGTAGGTGATGTAATTTTAATTACCCTATTTTTACTATCATTTATCTTTATTTAATGTCTGTGATGTTTTCTCGATGTACAAATTTTATAGAAAATGAAATATTTTGCAATGGATCAATGAAACACTGGAATTGAACATTTATTATTGAGAGCTTTCACATATATAATAATTAATTTTTTTGTGATGCAAACAGTTTTATATTTAGGTTATATTTAATAATTAACTCAATTTTTATCAAATGTAACATTTTTTAAATAAATTATTGACAAACATTAATATTTCTATTTAAAGTAATAATTAACAGCCAAATATTTTCGCTTGTTTTATTTACTTATATTTTAACGACTCTTAAGAATAAATTCAAAGTTGTCTCCCCTGATAGTTAAGAAATCATAAAAGGGATATAAGTAACACATTTTTATTTAACCTGAAACTGTCACATTATGTTTATAAGACTTCATTTAGATACGTTTTGCTCTCCAGTTGCATTCTTCTCCGAAGACAACACAAGAATATCCAATTTTCCATTTAATTAGACGTAAGAGTGGGCTTAAAAATGTATTTTAAATGTGTATATTAAATAACAAACAGGGAGGTAATAGGTTTCCGTGTTAGTGAAACTGGATACGTCAGGAGAACATGTATTTTCAAATCTGAGGCTAAGGGCACATACTTTCATTTAGAATCTTCTTCTTTCTTCTTCTTCTTAAGTTTAGTGTAGATAGGATCCCCCCCCCAACACAATTATTTTGTATCAACTTGTAATGCGGCACAAAGGCCGTTGACTCCGATCTCAGCCTACATTTCTTTTTAGGTTTGCTTCCGTAGCCTTTGTCCAACCAAGAACAAACAACAAGGCAGCAGTTGCTTGATTTTAGAGTTATCTTTCCTAGATTACTTTTCGGTTCAGCAACCAAGATCCGACCTCTCTTAACTCTCTTAATATGATCTATATTTTATCAGGGATGTTTAGGTTTGCATCACGTATCATCCAACCACATCTTCTTTTATATATATATATATATATATATATATATATATATATATATATATATATATATATATATATATATATATAAATATATATATATATATATATTTATATATATATATATATATATATATATATATATATATATATATACATATATATAATATGATATGAACTATTTTATTTAAAATATTATCTTTATTTTTTACTTTAGTATATTTCAAAGTTTGTTATTATAAAGTATTTATGCTAAATTGATTTCCCAAATAAAAAGACTGTTATTATAACGGTTTAGAGGCTAGCTTTTTCTAATTTCCACCCACCTCAGTACAGACTGACCACGGCAGCGTCTCCTGCATTGATGCGAAGAAAAAATACAACGTGTAGGCCATGATGATGTTGTAGTAGATGGCGACAACCAATGATATAATACACATTGATATTCCTATACCTGTGAGTAATATACATACATATAGATTAACGTATATTTGTGTACATATGTATAAATGCATACATATGAATATTTATAAACACGCATAATATACATACATGTATATATATATATATATATATATATATATATATATATATATATATATATATATATACACACATATGTGTGTGAGAGTCTTTTAAACATAAAATTCGTTGGCATAAACCTAATGTGATTGATTTATTATTATTGTTTAGTTTGAGAACCATCGATATGAGTGACCTGACCTTTAGCACAAGGGTTCATCTCCCAGACTTTGGTGGGCCCCCTGCCCGAGTACTGTCCCATCACCAGCTCCATGAAGTACATGGGTTTGCCGATCAGAAGTTGTAGGATGATGTAGGCGATCAGGAAGGCGGCTGGCGAGGACAGGGAAATAACTCTTTACAACAGAATATAAGATGTTTAACTAGCACAGGGAGATAACCCTTTACTAGAGAATATAGTGTGGCTTGTGACGACAGGGACATAACTCTTTACAAGGGAATATAGTGTGGCTGGTGACGCCAGGGAGATAACTCTTTACTAGAGAATATAGTGTGGCTTGTGACGACAGGGACATAACTCTTTACAAGGGAATATAGTGTGGCTTGTGACGCCAGGGAGATAACTCTTTACAAGGGAATATAGTGTGGCTGGTGACGACAGGGACATAACTCTTTATTAGAGAATATATTGTGGCTGGCGAGGACAGGGAAATTACTCTTTGCTTGAGAGCTAATTACGATCTCGAATATGGATGTCGCCGATCAAAGCGTTTCGTATACTTAGTCTAGACTCTAGAGTTTGTCTAAATTTGGTATCATATTAATATTAAACTTTTCATCTATTTTCAATTTAGCTCTAGTCTCCAACATTCCATTTTAGCTCAACTCTATTTTTCTCAATTACACAATGCACCCTATCTAAATAGCCTACTGCATTCATATTAGCCATTCTCAAAATTTAGTACGCAAATCATGTTAATGTATACAATTTAAATTATTCTTTTCTCCTGTATGTAAACGTGAATTAAAATTTGGTTGAAAATCGAACCGTACATTTTCACTTTAACTTAACCATTTGTGATAAAACTTAGAATAAAAACCCCTATTCGTATAATTTTCCCTTTCTTAATATTACCGGTATCCTATTCTGTTTTAATACTAAACCAATACGAAACCTACAGGTAGGAATTGTAAATAGAAAACGGTAAACAGCAAGTTCAAGGTAGGTATGTTATTTCAGCCGCCCAAGATCCGCTGTTTTTTTTTAAATATCCCTAGGCCTATTTGGCAACTTTTCAAAAGTGGTGCGAGAATTTTAATGGCCAAATTTTTAATATTTAGTTATGGCTCTTTTCCGTCTTTGCTGGCTTTAAACATTTGTATAGCCAGGGCAATGAAGTTGGCTTTTGAAAAAAAATTAAAGTGAGTTTTATTCAATGAAATAGCGCTTAGTTTAGCGTCTTGAAATGCAGTTTTATTTAAGACGATTAAAAACAGACACAAATAAATGTGACTTTACGATATTTTGTTTTGTGTAACTTGACAAGAAAGGTGTGAGACGTCGTGGTCGGACTGTAGCGCGCAGCACTGCTAACCCGAAAGTCTTAAGTTCGGATCCAAGGTTCGAGTCCGTAGGACTTAGATAACCCAAATCTGATGGTTACCTAATTAGGTAATAAAATTAATGCCGGCTGGGCTTAGAATTGACCACACCATACTTTCATAATCCAAGGTAACAGAAACAGGTGAACTCTACTTCAACTACACTCTAGACTGTGGGGTCATTTAGCTGTAATATCAAGAGAACGGGTGTCGATGCTAAAGTCGCGAGTTCGCTTCCTATTGCCAGGGTGATATTTTGCCGTGAGGTAAAAATAGTACATAGTCCTGATGACTAGCTAGTAAAATCTATTAATATACCGTGGTTGATTGGTTGGATGAGTTGCAGATCACGAGTTACACTGTGATCAAGGGAACTTTGGACAATTTATGCCAAAAATGAGATACGTAAAGAATGAAAAAAAATATTTAAAAAAAAAATACCGAAAGTGTATTTAAACTTTTAAAAAGCGTCAAAATGTCTTCACAACTGAAACACTACCTTTACAACGTGTCACTGACACTGGCACCTAGTCGGTGACACTGACATTGGACAGTGTCACTGACATTGGTACCTCATTATTAAAACTGACATTGGCATCTCGTTAGTGACACTGACATTGGTACCTTGTTAGTGACACTGACATTGGCACCTAGTCAGTCACACTGACATTGGTACCTTGTTAGTGACACTGACACTGGCACCTCATTACTGACACTGACATTGGACAGTGTCACTGACATTAGTGATTTCACATTGTTGTAGTTGCCACAGTTGGGTCAAGAGCGATTTGGCACCAACCAGGAAAAAAAAAAGTATTGTGACAGAAACAAACATACGACGATTAACTATGTGATTAATATTTGAAATATGACACATCTATGATACAAATGAGACTAATGTTTGAGATTTATAATGACTATACATGAGACGAAATAGAGTTTATGTATGCCACAGTGAGTGACATATATACACAAAGTTGGATGCGACATTTTCCACTATATCACGCAACAATCACTGCGCATGTCAGCATTCAATACATTCACAGTTGAAGTGACGGTCACGTGTTATATAAAGTGATATCATTACGTAAGCATTAATGGCTGAAATTGAAAACTCTGTACAGCTCATAAAAAGCGTAAAAATGGACCAAAGTTTTCAAGCAAGCCGGATTCGTATGTTAGAATTCAACAATAAAAAAAAAGAAAAAAAAAAGTTTAGAAAAAAGTTTTTAAAATAACATTTCTAGATATTATTTAACAGAAGTCAAATATCCTTTGAAAACGAAAAAAAAAACCTGTTAAGAGCTATGCAGGACTAGTTGCATTAGGGTCAACCTCACCTCCCCCGTTCTGATATGCCAGGTACGGGAACCTCCAAACGTTGCCCAGACCAACAGACAGTCCGATGCAGGACAGGACAAACTCGGCCTTGTTCCCCCATTGTTCCCTCTCCTCTGGTTCCTTGCCTGATGGTAGTTGGGGAACCTCGACGTCGCTGGTGCTATCTTTCTTGTCATTCGTTAGCTGGTCAAAAAAAAAGATAAAATATTACGATAACTTATATTTTAATAAGGTAAATGTTAAGATGAGAAAGAAAAGTCCTACATTTCCATTAGTTCCGTCCCAAATCAACGTGGGTAGGGAGGTGGGGGTAGGTAGAATCAGCGTTGACGGGCCGGTAAAGCTCATGGCTGCTAAATCGAAAAGTCCCGAGTTCGAATATTCCTCTTTCCCCCCCCCCCCCCCCCCCCAATCCCAGGCCCCCAGACAGAAGAGGCTCGATAAATGGGGTCACCAACTCTTCTAGGAGATAAAACTCCATAAGCAAACAAGCTAAGCCTTGTAGAGTGTTCTTGGTTGGACAAGAAATAAGGCTGTTGAAGCAAACTCTGAAAGGAAAGCAGCCTGAAATAGGAGTCTATGTCCACCACTCTCTCTCTACAGCAAAGTTTCTTGCTTTAAGTTCTAATATTGTTTGGATAAGTCGGGCACATTTATTTTATCGTACGAGAACACAGCATTTCACACTAGCGAAGGGTATACCCTGCAGAGAATAGACGAATTTAAAATGTTCATTTGATATTAACCATCATGTTTTAATATCAATATTGACCACTTTAAAAAAGGGTCCAAAACATTTAAAAAAAAAAATGCAACAATAAATTGAGCAAAACATGCACGCTTAATGTATACATAAGTCTACTACCACTCTTCTCAGGTTATCAAATTTCTGTGAAATTTTCTTAAAACAATATTAGGACCATGCGTTGGCCTTGTAATGTCACACTTAAAAACAAATTGGATTTTTTTTTGTTGACCACAGAAAGTAAAGTACGAAATGTTTGTTATTATATTGACAACAAGGGCAAGGTCACAAAAACTGATACAGAGCTTTCGTGTGCACAGTTGTGGCGCTTAAACGGAAATGTTGAAACATTTAAGTTGCAACAGATACGGATGTAAATTTTTTTTCTTATACTTTATAAAAAATTTAGTCTACTAATATAAGAAGAATGTCTAAAATATTAAAAACATATTTTTTGGGTACGTCCAATTCAGTTGTAAGAACCCCTGCCTTACATTTTCTTGAGGTAAATAAAGAAAACAAATATAAACAAAGTATGTCAACAAACTAAGCAGGATGTTTGTGCAACAAGTGACCTGTGGTGTGCACCAATGGTGCACCGTCACGTCACTTGTGGTGCGCAAATGGTAAGATATTAACCCGCTCTCGCCTAGCGTATTCAGTCGTACCTCGCCTAGAATGTTGCGTATGTTTGCACACAAGTGTCCATCTAAATTATCTAACAGCTAATCGAATAGACACAAAGTGACAACAGTAGTGAACACAGCTCTAGGATATAGGTAACACCAGCCAATGCGCTGTTGTTTTTTTTACACCCTACCCCCCCCCCCCCCCCCACCCCCTTTACCCCACCCCAATCTCTGCCAATCCCAATTGTCTGGAGTTAATACTTTTTAACTCCTATAGACGGTTGAAAAGGTCGGTGCCAGTGCACTAGAAAATCCTCATTAATGACATTTTATTTTTAGCATACAACCCGAAGATAAAAGTTCCCCTGCTGAAAAAAGATTTAAAGGCATCTATAATAATAGTTTCGCTGTCTGTCAAGAACGCTCTGTCTGACAAGAACGCTCTAGAGAAAAGACAAGCAATTTAAAAACATGCATAGTAATTCGAAAAACGAAGTATGACGTCGACACATTTAGCGCACAGAGTAGAAAATAATCTCACAGTAATATAATGACGTCATTGATTCTGGCGTAAATATTGAATAAAGAGGAAATGTTGTCTAATCTAAGTGGTTTGCGTGAAGAGTTTCTTGCATACAATTCTTCGGGTAGGGGCGAAGCCCCACCCCCCGCGTAAGAACGTCTGAGCCCCTCCCCCTGCCCAACTCAAAAGAAATTTCCTCATCGATACTCTATAATAAAATTACCGCCTAATTAATGTGTCTAATCTAAAAAGTGGTTTTCTTGCAATGGGACGGTAGACATGATTTTTTTTGGGGGGGGGGGGTGGGGGGGGGGTGGAGGGGTTGGGGGGGGGTGTGTGTGGGGGGGGGTGGTGTGTGTGGGTGGGGGGGGGTGTGTGGGGGGGGGGTGGGTTGGTTTCAGTGTTTCTTTCAGACTTTTTCCTCCCCGGAGAGGGGTGGGGGTACTTGAAATTTTCGGGGGCGGGGGTAGAATTTTCTGGGAGGGGGCGGACACTGGAAAAAGTATATAATTATATTTCGTTGAATGGGACGGTAGACATGTTTTTTTTGGGGGTGGGGGGTGGTGGAGGGGTGGGGGTAGGGGTGGGGGGTGGGGGGTGGGGTGGGGGGGTGGGGGTGGGGGGGTGGGGGGTGGGTTGGTTTCAGTGTTTCTTTCAGACTTTTTCCTCCCCGGAGAGGGGTGGGGGTACTTGAAATTTTTGGGGGCGGGGATAGAATTTTCTGGGAGGGGGCGGACACTGGAAAAAGTATATAATTATATTTCGTTGAATGGGACGGTAGACATGTTTTTTTTTGGGGGGGGTGGGGGGTTGGGGGGCGGTGTGTGGAGGGGGTGGTGTGTGGGGGTGAGGGGTGGGGGTGGGGGTGGTGGGGGGTGGGGGTGGGGGTGGTGTGTGGGGGTGGGGGTGGTGTGTGGGGTGGTGGGTTGGTTTTAGTTTAGAGAAAAGAGACAGCACTATCAGCCTAGCGCCCGTTGTACCCTTCCTCAACGGGCCATTTTTCTCGTACATAAGATTTTTATTTAATGTACTTCAGCAAATTTGTTTCATAAATTTCTTTTCGCAGCTAGCAGTTTTCAGAGTGTATAAGAGTCAAAATCTGCTAATGAAGAAAGTTAACCGAATATTATTTTGTAAATGCTTGAGTTTAAAATGTCTTACGATTTAATACCTACATATGCATACATATTTTGTCCTGAAATAATTGGCCTCTAAGATGTTTTATATTTAAAATCTAGTGTGCTGATTTATTTCATCCTGTGACATTGAGACATTTTATCAGGGAAATGTAATGAAATCACATCTTCATATATATATATATATATATATATATATATATATATATATATATATATATATATATATATATATATATATATATATATATATATATATATATATTCTGTTTGCATCCGTCATTTTCGAACATAAGTATTCAATATTATCATATCCCCGAAGTCAATTTTTAGTACATGAATATATCTCTGAAAGCGATGTAATTCCAAACCTACAAATACAGGTGATGTGCAAAACAGACAGCTGTTTTTCAGGGTGACCGGAAAGATGCGCTACGGAAAAAAAAGCGCGCAAGGGAATTTTTGTTTTCTTAAATCGAGCAGTTATAGACAAAAAAAATTGGCTAAATGTTCGCTGTAGATAATAATAAAACATATTTCCGTGAATTATGACACAATTTAAGCGTATTAGCATAATTTGTTTTATTTACGATTTTTTTTCTGTTTGCGCAGTTTTCCGATTGCGTATTTTTCTGGGAACCGTTGTTTACCTACCTGTTGTTTTGAGCTGGTGGAATTCCCGTCGACTTCAGTTGTCCAAAGATTGAACGAGTTAGCCATGGCTAGTACCTGATGCCGAGAAGGTCAGTAGTAAATGGACCACCTGTCTAAAGTGAAGGTCAGTATTAGATTGACCACCTGTCTGAAGTGAGGGTCAGTATTAGATTTACCACCTGTCTAAAGTGAAGGTCAGTAGTAGATTGACCACCTGTCTGAAGTGAGGGTCAGTATTAGATTGACCACCTGTCTAAAGTGAAGGTCAGTAGTAGATGGACCACCTGTCTGAAGTGAGGGTCAGTATTAGATTGACCACCTGTCTAAAGTAACGGTCATTAGTAGATGGACCACCTGTCTAAAGTGAAGGTCAGTAGTAGATGGAGCACCTGTCTGAAAAATTTCCAGGTAGTTCTTATCAGGATAATATCACGTCAAGATTGCTTACATTAGCGAGTAAAAATGCATAACATAACCATACAATAACTCTTTGAATAATAATATAATAATAATAATAATAATAAAGATAAATTGCTAATCCATGTTTTAAACTGTATGTAAAAGCTATTATCTGAAGTTCTGTCAATTAAAAACATTAGTCAAATTTAATTTAATAATAACGATTTTAATTACAAATACTTCAATATTTGGATGAAACAATTAGATTAAGGAACAATGATAACGGAAGTTATTGAAAATTTTAAATTTTTTTTTTTGATATACAAAAATAAGTTATCAAGACAGTTTATATTTACCTGACAAATCCCATAAAAAGAAATTGTCACGGACAAATTAAAGTCAACATAAAAAAGTATTAAAAAGTAATAAGTTTATAGCTCGAAGAGTTCCCCTACGAAAATGTCCGCAATTTTATAGTTTTTTTACCACCAAGTTTACACACACCAACTGAATATTTAAAAGCATCAGAAGCTCACAAGTAAACAGAGAGGTTTAAAAAATGTCCTCATATTCTGTTTTAAAATACCAAACAGCTTCTTATATTCTCTAAGTGCACTGCGATAAATGGGCGGGGTGCAGGTAAAAAAAAGGGGGGAGGGCGTGAGGTCGACTTATTACGGGTGGGCACAGCCTTATGCAGTAACAGGATAGGGCAAACAGGTAGGGGGGGGGGGGGGGGTTTGGTGTTGGTAGAGAAAACTTGCACCTTTAGGCGCTTGTGCTTCATGTATATGTATGAATATATATATATACTAGCTGTATCCCGTGCTCCGCCACGGTAAATCATTTTTAAATATACCAACTTTGGAACAGAACAAAACTAAACACAACACAAACGAACGAACGCAAAAAAAAACGAAAAAACGAACACAACACTTATAACATAAACACAATTTAAATGCAATCATAAAGGCAAATTGCTCACAGTCTAGCCCGTAGCGCCAAATCTCCCCCTTTCCTAGTCCCGGCGGACGCGTCTGACACAGTGAATGACTACAAAACAGAGGCGTTGCGACCCTTTCCGGCGCCCGGGGACAAACTTTCGATTTGACCCTCCCTCAAACTTACGATTTGCACCCCCTCCCCTCAAAATTTCAATTTCCACCCATCCCCTTAAACTTTTGATTTGCATTCCCCTCAGACTTTCGATTTGCACCACTTTTGATTTGAAATTCCCCCCGCTCAAACTTTTGATTTGCGCCCCCCTCAAACTTTCGATTTGCACCCTACCCCCCTCCCCCTCCCTAAAACTTTCGATTTCCACCCCCCCCCCCTAGCTAGGCCTCTCTTATAAAACCCCAGCTTGTCCGCAGACCGAAAGATAGAATAATAATAAATAATATACAATAAAAAATAGGCAATATTTAAAATATCCGTGTTTACCTACCATATATAACTTTATCAATTCACGCATTTTTTTCCCAGTATTTTAATTTTAAAAATTTACAATTGAGTTTCATAACTAAAACCATTGCGCACCCAATGCCTATAATGGTGCGGAATAGTTGATTAAAAATTATAATTAGTAAACAGTACATTCAGTGAATAAAATAAATAAAAGATAGCCTTTTATCAATCAATGCTAATAATAATATTCCAACAATAATGTACTCTTACACGTCAGCATAATTTGCATTCACATTTTGCTAATTATATTATTCCAACAATTATTCCGTCTTGCGGATTTTGCATTCACATTTTTAGCGTGAGTTCAATTTATCTTTGAATTACCTCCATTGGCAAAATTACTAAGCAGTTTAATTAGATTTTTCTACCCTACTGTTATTATGTTATTAAAATATATCCACTTTTTCTGGGAATGTTATTAAAATATATCCACTTTTTCTGGGAATATTAACGAAAACGATATTTTACATTGATCCTTTTAATATGTTTTAGCAATGTGCGTGTATTTAATATTCTCTTTACGTTATGCAAAATTGTACAAACAGTGAAAATTATAAAATAGCTCTATGCCGTTATATAAACAAACCCTACTCAATTACTTATAATAAGACACTGCGGTGCACTGAAAAGCACAGCATGGTGCGTAGCTTACTTTTATAGTCCCAAAATCTATAGCGATGACGGACGGAAGGAAGGACACGCTCAGCCCGATTATATATAAGTATATATATATATATATATATATATATATATATATATATATATATATATATATATATATGAATATGTATATAGATATATATAGACACCCATACATACATCCACACATACACACACACACATATATATATATATATATATATATATATATATATATATATATATATATATATATATATATATATATATATATATATATATATATATATATATATATATATATATATATATATATATATGTATATATATATTAATATATATGTTACGGTCAAAGCCCGAAGTGCGGCCAAAGCGCGGATTGGCCGGCCAATCCGCGCATTGGCCGGCTCTCTTGGTCAAAGCCCGAAAAAATTAGCACTAAGATCGTATTTCGTACATTGGCCGGCCAATGCGCGCACTGGCCGGGATGTCCTGGCCAATGTTCTATCTAGACTAAGTTGTGATCGCATTTTCATTATTCTGGGTGCGTTTTCATTGAGAGTAACGTATTGTTTAGCTCTTGTTTGTATAGCATTCTATATGCAAGGCGACATGGAACAAATGGGCCGTCAGACCATGAGACAGACATAGCAGATGGCTGTCAAAAGAAAAAAATTTAAAACCATGTTAGTTTCCATATATGGGCTCTCGCTTAAATAGTTACTGAGGAAGATCTTGAGAACATTGAACAAGAAATGGAGGTTGCCATAAATGCAACGACATCCTCAGCTAACACATCTACCTCCGTAGCGGAACGCCCAGACCAGTTGCGTGATAATAATGTGGCCAACAGATTCTCTATAGTTTGTGAAAAACATTGTAGAGCAGCTCATTCTTGTGGATCCTGTGGCAGCGATGTCCATGCTATTTGTGGAATACCCAATGAAGCAGACGAAGGGTACGGAGGGAACATTACCTGCAGATTGTGTCCCAACAAACAAGACATCATGGAACACAGATCAGCAGCTCATTCTGGCTTGCAAACTCAAGGTGCTAAGATGCTTAAAACATCAAATACAAAATTTAAAGATGGTGAAGTGGGTGACAATGTACGCATCCGTTTTCCAGATGTTGACAGAGGTCACGGTGATCCCCGAAGCGTGATTGCAGTTGTCATGAGCGTCGACATCGCTTTCTACAAGCTAGGAACGGAACGTGGTGTTCTAAAACAAATATATTCTAGAAGTGAGTTTTCAATTCTTCACGAAAAAACTGCTCTTAATGTCGTCAGTTGGCACTGAGGAAAAATCTCTACGAACCATCGCATCTTCACAATCATTGACTGGGGGCCAAGGCTACATTGGCTGCAATTGCACAACTAAGTGCACAACAAATCGCTGCAAGTGTAAAATTAACAATCTGCTATGTAATTCTAAATGCCATAAAAGTTCAACTTGTTGTAACAAATGATGATATTGATAGATTGAGACTATAGTACAATAAAAAATTTGAATATTTCTGTCATTTACTTTAATTAATAATCAATAAAGACTTAATTTCATGATCCTTATGGCATTTAAAAAACACCCAAATCCGCTCATGATCTTCTAATCCGGACTTTGGCCGGTCGTCCCTAGCCAGATGATCTTCGAATTTAGACTTTGGCAAGTCCACCATGGCCAGTCCGCGGACTGGCCGGCCAAAGGCCGAAATGAAGAGCTATTTCAGACTTTGGTCGGTCCACAATGGCCAGTCTGCGGATTGGCCGGCCAAAGGCCGAAATCAAGCAAAGTTTCGGACTTTGACCGACCTATGGGAGGCGACATTGGCCAATGCGCGGTTTGACCGGCCAATCCTAGCATTGGCCGACTTCGGGCTTTGACCGTAACATATATATACATACATACATACAGAAAGAAAGCCTGAGAAGTAGCCAACGCTAAAGCTTTTAAGAGCTCTCTATCAGGCATCACATTTGATGTTGCGTCTGGTCTATCCTGTTTAAAACATAAATGTAGCTGTTTTAGTCATAACATGTGTTGTGACATGCATGTGAAAGTAATATTGTCATAACGATTATGTAACACATCATGTCACAAACACAGGAATGTTAACATTACAAAGAGATGACACGTATAAACCTGTTCTACTTTTAGATTATATTCTTAACAACAAAACTAAAAATAGAATCGGAAATGCTAAGAGAATGTAATATAACTATTTATTACGATTATAATGTAGTAATATAAACTCCTACCCCGCTAAACAACACTGCTTTTATGCGTTTAGCTTTGTATTTATGGATGTGCGAGTTTTGAAAACCATTCCCACTTTTATTTGTTTCAGTATATTACACATTTCAGCCGATACAGCTTTTCAATCAAAAATTATAACACGATTTTATACTGTTTTTATTTTATTTTACTTAACATATCTTATCCTTCACTACTTTTACTTTCTTCTGCCTAAGGCTGGTGACTTTAAAAACTTCATCGGCGAATTCGATACATATTTTGATCGATTACACATTTACAGGTGATATTCCATATTGAACAGTTGACGTCTCTCATGAAAGCACAACATACTTTTAAAACGTTATGAGTTTTAAGGAAAACATCTGGATGAAATTAAATAAGAAATGTTGGCACATTATTTTCTCCTTGTCTGATCTAAACATCCATGGGCAGTTTGTCACATTTTGACGAGTACCGAACTTCCATAATTCTTAAAATAAATAATTTGACGAGCACCAGACTTTATAATCCTTAAAGCGAATGTTTCCCACTCACTCTCTACACAACTATCTATACCTACAGCATAACCTACTGTCTATAAGATAACTTCGTGGTTCAAGTAATGCCACAAATTTAAGCGTGACATCATACGGAGGACTTTATATATATATATATATATATATATATATATATATATATATATATATATATATATATATATATATATATATATATATATATATATATATATATAATTTAATCTTTGATGTTTAACATCAATTCACCTAAAATTAGTCATTTATATTAGACAACGTTACAAGCGAAAGTTGTGGTTGAAATTCAAATTAGTGTTGTGTCTAGTTAGATGGATATTTCAAAGAGCGTTATATAAACGGAGAAAAAAAAACTCTTGTATATATATGCAACAACAGGTACTTGACTATATAGTGAGTGTTATGATTATAGCATCTGAGTACTCTCACATGTGTTTGCACATTCACTCAAGTAAAATACAGGCATGTTGTTTTTCGCTTCACTTAAATTTAATGCAGATTTTAATATACATTAAAAAAAATGTTGTCAAATGAAAATTTAAAATGTTTCTTTTAGTTTTTTATTTTCAGTCTCTTTTAGCAGTCTCTATTACCAACTTAAACACGCAATAAAGTAACTGCTTCAAACTCTTTTGTTACTTCGTGTCCCTTGAACACAATTGTTGGCGCCTTCCCTAGCACCAGTCCACACCTCCCCTAGCACCAGTCCACACCTCCCTTCACACCGCCCACACGTCCCCTAGCACCAGTTTACACCTCCCCTATCACTACCCCACCCCCCCCCCCGACATTAGCCCACACCTCCCCCAGCACCAGTCCACACCTCCCCTAGCACCAGTCCACACCTCCCCTAGCACCAGTCCACACCTCCCTTAATACCGCCCACACGTCCCCTAGCACCAGTTTACACCTCCCCTAGCACTACTCCACCCTCCCCCCCGACTTAGCCCACACCTCCCCCAGCACCAGTTCACACCTCCCCTAGTACTAGTCCACACCTCCCCTAACACTAGTCCACACATCCCCTAGTACTAGTCCACACCTCCCCTAGCACCAATCACCTCCCCTAGCACCAATCACCTCCCCTAGCACCAGCCCACACCCCCTCCGAGCACCAATCACCTCCCCTAGCACCAATCACCTCCCCTAACACCAGCCCACACCACCTAGCAACAATCACCTCCCCTAGTACCAGCCCACACCCCCTAACACCAGCCCACACCCCCTAACACCAGCCCACACCCCCTAGCACCAATCACCTCCCATAGCACCAATCATCTCCCCTAGCACCAATCACCTCCCCTAAAACACTAGTCTACACCTCCCCTAGCACCAGTCTACACCTCCCCTAGTACTAGTCCACACCTCCACTAACACTAGTCCATACCTCCCCTAGCACCAATAACCTCCCCTAGCACCAATCACCTCCCCTAACACTAGTCCACACCTCCCCTAGCACCAGTCTACACCTCCCCTAGTACTAGTCCACACCTCCCCTAACACTAGTCCATACCTCCCCTAGCACCAATCACCTCCCCTAGCACCAATCACCTCCCCTAGCACCAGCCCACACCCCCTCCGAGCACCAATCACCTCCCCTAGCACCAATCACCTCCCCTAACACCAGCCCACACCGCCTAGCAACAATCACCTCCCCTAGTACCAGCCCACACCCCCTAACACCAGCCCACACCCCCTAACACCAGCCCACACCCCCTAGCACCAATCACCTCCCATAGCACCAATCATCTCCCCTAGCACCAATCACCTCCCCTAACACTAGTCTACACCTCCCCCAGCACCAGTCTACACCTCCCCTAGTACTAGTCCACACCTCCACTAACACTAGTCCATACCTCCCCTAGCACCAATAACCTCCCCTAGCACCAATCACCTCCCCTAACACTAGTCCACACCTCCCCTAGCACCAGTCTACACCTCCCCTAGTACTAGTCCACACCTCCCCTAACACTAGTCCATACCACCCCTAGCACCAATCACCTCCCCTAGCACCAATCACCTCCCATAGCACCAATCACCTCCCCTAGCACCAATCACCTCCCCTAACACTAGTCCACACCTCCCCTAGCACCAGCCCACACCTCCCATAGCACCAGTCCACACCTCCCCAGAAGGGCGCGCCTTCCAATTAGGAAGCCGCAGCTCTGTACCAAGAGCCGATGAACCGCGTCATACGCTACCCACATTTATAGACACGATAAACCCCCCTCCTTCATCCCAATTTGGGGGGGGGGGGTGGTGATGATTTATTTATTGAGAGGACAGTCACATCACCTAGATGACGGGTCACATGACCGACATACCAGACCGATTATACGTACCCTCATCTTTATGACCCCCTGCGGTATTGACATTAGCCGATCTTCTTACCTCACTGGATCGACGGCCTTGACCTTGAAGCTTGAAGTTGTTGACTCTGAGTTTGATCAAACATGGTCTGAATGGCGTGGAACAAATGGCCGGGGTAGCACGCAAGTAAACTAGATCAGGTTGAATTTAGAAACTGATGTGGTTCTACCACACGAAGCCACACAAGCCACACGCAGCCACACGAAGCCAAACAAGGTCGCACGTAGCCTCAACAATGCCGCACATTTAGTAAGGTAGCTTGATGTAAGGTTAGGGTAGGTGTCGACTGGGAAAATGAAATAAGTCAAGGACCGGTTTGGTGAGGTAAAGAAATGACCGGTTGAATTGAGGTAAAGCAATGACCAGTTAAATGAGGTAAGGTAAGGCCCGTTTGATTGAGGTAAGCTAATGACAGGTTCAATGGAGTAGGGCAATGACCTTTTGAATGGGTCAAAGACAGACACTATGGTAATACGGTGACACTAACTCAACATAATTCTTGAAGAAAATCTGGTCCGTATCTTAAACAAACAGGGCTTTATATTCAATCATCCAACATAGCGAAGTGAAGGTCTCGAGGAAAACGTATTGAAGTTTATTCTTGGATCTACTATTTATGAGTCTGTTCCGATGTGGCGTTAAGAATACATTGCCATTAATTAACTTTTAAAAATTAAACAAACGTATTTAATTGAAAATGACGTTAGTGTTTTATTTGATATCGCCGACATAAAAATAAAAAAAAATTAATGCCCCAAAATACCTTGTAGGTTTATTACTTTATTTAGTCTATATTACACATACATGGATCAAAGTATTGGCAGTACCATTGGTTTTATTAAAAATACATAACTCCTGTCCTCGATTTAAGACACCTTGCAGTGTAAATTAATAAATGTGCTCAGATCTTCATTGTGCATGTATTTTTAAAAAGACATATTTCATATTATCTTCATTAAGTATTTTGTATACTTTGAAGGAAAAGGTTAAAAAATCGAGTGAAGTTATTTCATTTTCTATTTTTTTTTCATTTTCTCTAAACAATTAATTATACTAATGGGTGACTGTCAACATTCTGTTTTAATTACTTAAAAAAATAGGTGAATATTTTATCTAGCAATTTTAATATATAAAATAAAGCTTTAACAAAACAGTGTATATTTAGTTATTTGAGAATGTATGACGAAAACGTTAGCCCAAGTGTATAATAAATGATATTTATTAATATATTAGCAGTTTAACGTTTCCAATTTGTATATTATTTACCAATAATAATCATTCTAATAAATTATTTTCTGTTAAAATAATACAGAGTAATTAATATAGGCCGATACTTCCTTTACAAAAAATGCAATCGATTTTTTTTTACAAAAAAAAGGACAAATGTGCTTAAACTTAGCTAAGTTGCATTCTTGCACAATGAAGCACTGACTAAATATATTATCGTTAAAAATTTCTACACAAGTAAAAGATTCTGAAAAAATGTGCAGTAATGAGGTAGCTAATAAAAAGAAATTAAAATTATTTACTAGGAAAATGAACGATATATCCAAAATATGGTAGAGAAATGAACAATGCAAACAGCTTGGTAGGCAAATGAAAGATTCGGACAAAATTTGATAGGCAAATGAAATATTCGGGAAAAATTTGGTAGGCAAATGAAAGATTCGGACAGAATTTGGTAGGCAAATGAAATATTCGGAAAAAATTTGGTAGGCAAATGAAAGATTCGGACAAAATTTGATAGGCAAATGAAATACTCGGAAAAAATTTGGTAGGCAAATGAAAGATTCGGACAGAATTTGGTAGGCAAATGAAAGATTCGGACAGAATTTGATAGGCAAATGAAATATTCGGAAAAAATTTGGTAGGCAAATGAAAGATTCGGACAGAATTTGGTAGGCAAATGAAAGATTCGGACAGAATTTGGTAGGCAAATGAAATATTCGGACAAATTTGGTAGGCAAATGAAATATTCGGACAAAATTTGGTAGGCAAATGAAAAATTAGGACAACGAGTGTCACAAACTATGTAGGTAACCTAAGGATTAGGACAAAATTAGACTTATGGAGGTAGGTAATGTTGCATTAGGATTACAATTTTTCATCTATAAACCCAAGGTTGTCGTAACCCTTAGCATGGTCGTCTAGCCGGCAGAGGGAAAAGTCAGGGTCGATGCTAAAAATAGCATTGTCTTTCGGACCCTTGGACGTGCTGTGATCCTTTTTGTCGTTAGGGTGCCATTCATCTGTAGGTGTGAACATGGCTTTGGTCCACTGTGGAGTCGACAAAATGGTTCAGGTTAAAAGGTGCGGGCGAAAGAAAAAAGAAAAATCTGAAAACTGAATTGGCGAGAGGATGTTAATATGAAAAATAGTTGATGCTTTTATTTAAAAATAAACTCTACATAATGTGTTTTTTGAAATAACAATCTGACATTGTTTATCTCATCTACCCACTTTTTAACTAATCTGCCCAATGTTTAATTCATCTGCATACAGATTAACTCACCTTCCAACTATTTAGCTCACCTGTCCACAACTAATCTGCCTACTATTTAACTCAATTGCTCATTCTTTAACTAACCTGACCACTGATTATCTCTCCTGCCCACTGTTCAATTCACCTGCATACATATTCAAGTCACCTGCATAACATTAACTCACCTGTCCACGGTATAACTTATCTGTCCACCCTTTAACTCACCTGTATAACAAATTAACTCATTTGTCCGTTGTTTAACTCACCTGTCAACGGTATAACTCACCTGTCCACGGTATAACTCACCTGTCCACGGTATAACTCACCTGTCCACGGTATAACTCACCTGTCCACGGTATAACTCACCTGTCCACGGTATAACTCACCTGTCCACGGTATAACTCACCTGTCCACGGTATAACTCACCTGTCCACGGTATAACTCACCTGTCCACGGTATAACACACCTGTCCACTCTTCAACTCACCTGTCCACGGTATAACTCACCTGTCCACTCTTCAACTCACCTGTCCACGGTATAACTCACCTGTCCACGGTATAACTCACCTGTCCACGGTATAACACACCTGTCCACGGTATAACACACCTGTCCACTCTTCAACTCACCTGTCCACTGTTTAACTCACCTGCCCACGGTATAACTCACCTGTCTTAGACTCGTGACTTCAGGATTCCTGCAGGTAGACCAACACTTCCAGAAGAACCACAGAGGGAGGGGACACAAGACTACACTCAGCAGAGTCCAGCCGACGGCTTGGGCGAACTCTGGAAACGGTGTCCCATCAGAGTAGGTGAGTGGCTTGTACTGCACCATACGGTAGAGGAACAAGGCCTGGGGGGGGGGGGGGGGGGGGGTAAACTGAGTTTATCACTAATCACTTATGATAAAGGTAAATCTGACTCTGCGTTTATTATGTTACCATAGGAGTAAATTAGATACCATTAGCTTAATCCTACATGATAAATCTTTAAATAAGTCTTTTCCAACCATTTTAAACATTATTTAACATTTGTTTTGAGATAGCAAAAAATAAACCTGTACATCAGGCTGATACAAGTTTTCTTAGAAGTCAAAGGGCGACAACTCAAATAAACATACAGAGGAGTTATTTTCCTGAGTTATCTAACTTACCATGATAAGAACGGGGGTAGAGAAAGACCAACAGAAGATCCAGTACGGCCAGACGTGGGGTCTAGCACCCAGCATGTACTTGATGTCGTTGAAGAACCGCATCACACCTACAGAGTTAAAACACTTTCTGGTTTAGGTTTCGGTTCTCCAGTGTAAATGTTAACTTATGTTTTTATTCATCTTATACACTAAATTTGTACAATATGGGGTGTGTGTGTGTTTATGTTTCGTATGTGTGTGTATGTTGATAAGTTTAACTGGCCACGTGCAGATTTTTAAAATGAATTTTTTAACCGTTTATTAAATCTTAATCTAGTTTTGTATTCCCTTTCATTAAAAATAAATAAAAGCTCTTAACTACAATATCTATTAGTCCCTTTCTAACATTCACAAAGAATGGATTTCAGTTTTCGTTTTTTTTCATCAGTTCTAATTTAAGTCATCACTCGCACACCATCCTCCTCACACCACCACATCCCAAAGCTTCATATAACCGCAGGCGTCCATTATGGTATGTATGTGTGTAAATTACAGATAGTGGAATATATGGTAATGGTATGTGTTTCTGCAGCACGGAGTGTGTGAATAATGAATGGTATGCATTACAGAAATATGCGATATGTGATTAAGAAGATAGAGAGTTTGTGAATTTTAAATTATGGTATGTACCCTAGAAATATGTAAAAAGTATGTGAATAATGAAATGTATGTACCATATAAATATGTAAAAAGTATGTGAATAATGAAATGTATGTACCATAAACCCACATGACCGACACCACCTCACAAAAGGCCACAAACAGAACGGAGAAATCAGCGCCGTAATGATCCATGATGCTCACGACATAATCTCCACCCTGTTGGTCAAGATGGAAGCATTGATGTATACAAGGGAACAGAGGCGTAGCGAGGGGGCGGGGTGCGGACCGCACCGGGTGACACCATTTAGAGGGGTGACACCAAGGCAAAATATAAAGAAAAAAATGTGAGGGGGGTGCAAATCGAAAATTTGAAAGTTTGTCCCTGGGAAGGGTCGCTACGCCTCTAGGGGGGGGGGGGGAAGGGTGACACCATTAAGTGCCGCACCGGGTGACACCCGACCTCGCTACGCCACTGCATGGGAATCAGTTGTTGAAAACCTTTTGGAATATTTCCACCTGATGAGTACAAGTACCATTTGGGTAAAATGCACATTTCACATGGTAAAACCATTGCCACATATGTAAAAAGTAATGCCAACTGGAAAAAAAAAAACCTCTTCGACTTTGGAAAATACGTTTTCTGACCGGGAAAACACTTGTGCTAACCGTGATATAACCCTTTTCCAACTGGAAACAAATAGCCTATGCTAACTGAAAAAAATTTTCCAACAGGAAAAAAAAGCTTTAACCTATTGGAAAAACGTTTTGTTTAAAAAAAAAAGCATTTTCCAAATGCAGAAAAAAACTACCAACTGTGATATATATATATATATAAATATAAATATAAAAATAAATATAAATATATATATATATATATATATATATATATATATATATATATATATATATATATATATATATATATATATATATATATATATATATATATATATATAAATATCTTGATCACTGTAATTTTTGTATCTCTCTCAACTTCGATGCAATGTAAATATACATTCCGTACAAGCCCTCACACTGGATAATCCTTTTAAATATTATAAGACTCGAGCCCGGTTACCTAATCCATTGTAGACATTTGTAAAAATTGGTGTAACGCTATCTATAACACTGCAAAATTATACATGATAAAACATGTTTTAAGAATTTTACATAACCTACTTAGTGTAAGCAAACCAGAGCCGTAGCGAGGGCGCGGCGTACGGACCGCACCGGGTGACACTATTTAGGCGGGGGGGGGGGGGGGGTGACACCAAGGCAAAAAAGCATATACACATACATGTACGCGTATGAGGCATATCTAAATTATAGGCCTATTTAGGCCACGAACACACACAGACACACACACACACACACACATATATATATATATATATATATATATATATATATATATATATATATATATATATATATGTATGTATACTTTGCTTCTTGTGTAGGGGGGGGGGGGGGTGACACCAAGAAGTGTCGTACCGGGTGGCACCCAACCTAGCGACGCCACTGAAACAAACAACAACTTAATAAAAGATTGAAATATTCTGTGGACTTACAGGGCAGGTACAGGGGAGGGCCAACAGGAAGCACGTGACAGCCCAGCCAATGCACATGTACCTCTTGTACTTCCGGCTCTTAGGGAACTCGTCTATCGTGCACGTGATGAGGGTTTCGATCAGGGCAAACTGAGGGGAGGGAAGACACACAACATATCGTCATCTTACTGAATAGCATTAGGTGGGCCTGAGTTTTTGGCCCCATCATATATACACTCACCTCCACCCGAATTAAATCGAATTTTTATAAAAATGCATACTTGAACCATTGGAGAAAAATTTCTAAAAGAAAAACGGTGTATTATTTTCTTATGCGCTATCCAACAGGGCTACTAAAAGTACATATATCATACAGACAAACATGTACCTCTGAGTCTAGTCCTAGCATGTAGAGCATGAAGAAAAACAAAACAGACCACAGCTGAGAGGGGGGCATGTTGATTAGAGCTTCAGGGTACACAACAAACGCCATCCCGTAACCTGCACAGATTATATATACATATATATATATATATATATATATATATATATATATATATATATATATATATATATATATATATATATATATATATGACGGTGTGCGTGTACGTGTGAATGTTTGTGTATGAGTGTGTATGTGTATGGGGGTCTCTTTACCTGCTTATGTGTATTCAGATTGGCTATTTATACACCGATAAACTTTGAGTTGTGTGGCCTAAGTCCATATGGATTTAAATAAATGAATGGCCCAAAGTGTTCACCAACTCACCCCCTGAAGCGACTTCTGAAACTTTTTTGCCCACCAGCTTGGCCATGCCTCCAAATGTCGTGAAGACGACAAAGCCCGCTATGACGCTGGTTAGCAGGTCCATGACGCTAATGATCAGCGAGTCACTGTGGAGTCAATTGTAGAATATAGAAAGATCTTTGGTCTACACGCTTTTGTCTTAAAGACTTAAGAAATCAAAGATAAATAAACATAGCACCGTAACAAGAATCAATTGTAGATCAAAATACATCACTCACTAGACCACAATACCTCACTAAACTCACTAGCACACAATACATCATCACTCACTAGACCACAATACATCACTCACTAGACCACAATACATCACTCACTAGACTACAACACATCACTCACTAGACCACAATACATCACTCACTAGATCACAATACATCACTCACTAGACCACAATACATCACTCACTAGACCACAACACATCACTCACTAGACCACAATACATCACTCACTAGACCACAATACATCACTCACTAGACCACAATACATCACTCACTAGACCATAATAATGACTCACTAGACTACAACACATCACTCACTAGACCACAATACATCATTCACTAGACCTCAATACATCACTCACTAGACCACAATACATCACTCACTAGACCACAATACATCACTCACTAGACTACAATACATCACTCACTAGACCACAATACATCACTCACTAGACCATAATAATGACTCACTAGACTACAACACATCACTCACTAGACCACAATACATCACTCACTAGACCACAATACATCACTCACTAGAACACAATACATCACTCACTAGACCACAATACATCACTCACTAGACCCCAACACATCACTCACTAGACCAAAATAGATCACTCACTAGACCACAACACATCACTCACTAGACCACAATACATCACTCACTAGACCACAACACATCACTCACTAGACTACAACACATCACTCACTAGACTACAACACATCACTCACTAGACCATAATACATCACTCACTAGACCACAATACATTACTCACTAGACCACAATACATCACTCACTAGACCATAATAATGACTCACTAGACTACAACACATTACTCACTAGACCACAATACATCACTCACTAGACCACAATACATCACTCACTAGACCACAATACATCACTCACTAGACCACAATACATCACTCACTAGACCACAATACATCACTCACTAGACTACAATACATCACTCACTAGACCACAATACATCACTCACTAGACCCCAACACATCACTCACTAGACCACAATACATTACTCACTAGACCACAATACATCACTCACTAGACCATAATAATGACTCACTAGACTACAACACATTACTCACTAGACCACAATACATCACTCACTAGACCACAATACATCACTCACTAGACCACAATACATCACTCACTAGACCACAATACATCACTCACTAGACCACAATACATCACTCACTAGACCCCAACACATCACTCACTAGACCACAATACATCACTCACTAGACCATAATAATGACTCACTAGACTACAACACATCACTCACTAGACCACAATACATCACTCACTAGACCACAATACATCACTCACTAGACCACAATACATCACTCACTAGACCACAATACATCACTCACTAGACCCCAACACATCACTCACTAGACCACAATACATCACTCACTAGACCATAATAATGACTCACTAGACTACAATACATCACTCACTAGACCACAATACATCATTCACTAGACCACAATACATCACTCACTAGACCACAATACATCACTCACTAGACTACAATACAACACTCACTAGACCACAATACATCACTCACTAGACCATAATAATGACTCACTAGACTACAATACATCACTCACTAGACCACAATACATCACTCACTAGACCACAATACATCACTCACTAGACCACAATACATCACTCACTAGACCACAATACATCACTCACTAGACCACAATACATCACTCACTAGACCACAATACATCACTCACTAGACCATAATAATGACTCACTAGACTACAACACATCACTCACTAGACTACAATACATCACTCACTAGACCACAATACATCACTCACTAGACCACAATACATAACTCACTAGACCACAATACATCACTCACTAGACCACAATACATCACTCACTAGACCATAATAATAACTCACTAGACTACAACACATCACTCACTAGACCACAATACATCACTCACTAGACCACAATACATCACTCACTAGACCACAATACATCACTCACTAGACCCCAACACATCACTCACTAGACCACAATACATCACTCACTAGACCATAATAATGACTCACTAGACTACAATACATCACTCACTAGACCACAATGCATCACTCACTAGACCACAATACATCACTCACTAGACCATAATAATGACTCACTAGACTACAATACATCACTCACTAGACCACAATACATCACTCACTAGACCACAATACATCACTCACTAGACCACAATACATCACTCACTAGACCACAATACATCACTCACTAGACCATAATAATGACTCACTAGACTACAACACATCACTCACTAGACTACAACACATTACTCACTAGACCATAACACATCACTCACTAGACCATAACACATCACTCACTAGACCATAACACATCACTCACTAGACCATAACACATTACTTACTAGACCATAAGAAACTAGACCACAAGACAAGACTCACTAGTAGACCATGTTGTTGAACTTGTTGTAGCTACCAAACATGATGATACCACCAAAGGACACGCCCAGGGAGAAGAACATCTGACCAGCGGCGGCCACCCATACCTGTACCACGTGACCAAAAGTAAAAAGTATAGTTAGTATTGTTTATTTTTATCTATATATCTGTAACTTTAACCATAACACTAGAGAAATATAATCAAATTGCCTGTATATCTTGGAGCTTTACCCATTCTGGGACTATGAAAAATGCAGCACCATCACCCGCACCTTCTAGAAGAGCACCACGGACAAGTAGGATGAGCAGAATGACGTAGGGGAAGGTGGCGGTAAAGTAGACCACCTAACGGAAAAGAACAAACCAAGTGCTGAGTGTTATTACATAAAACTCTACATATACTTCATTAACATATTGAAAAATTCGGAGCGGATGAGCAACGCATTAGATAATTTGCTACGCAGCTGGTACAAACAGATAATAGTTAACAAGTTTAACATTTACATCAATATTATTTAAAAAGTTTAGTAAAGCACTTGCTGTGTTTTGTATACAAATTCCAAACACAAATTCTTAGTCAATTTCATATGTTCTGTAACAGTGGACGCGGTTACATCACAGATGGGTAGTTTAAAGACGGTAGTTAAAGAGTTATCTTTTCACCAAAATTGTGTTTGTTTATTTTGTTTTTGTAGACCAACCTTGCCTGAACTTTTGATTCCTTTAATCAAGCAGACGACGACGATGATCCAGGAGAGGATGAGACAGAGGACAATCTTCCAGAGTGGGGAGCCCATGAACATGGGGTCAACGCCCTCGGACTTCTGGATAACCTCCTTGCTGAAAGAAACGGATCAGTGCACAATTTACGATGGGGACGGCGGGGCTAAATGGATGGGGGAGGGGGGGGGGAAGAGGAAGAAAAGGGGGGAGAGGTATATAACCACTGTTTCTTTAAGACATTGGGGGTGGGGGGTGGGGGGATGAGATGCGAACTAAATTTTGTGGGGAGAAACTGGGAAAATAATATCTTTTCTTCACCACCCCCACCTCCCCCCTCCCCCCAAACTTCCAAGAGATGACTACAACTCTTTATTATAGAACTATCCACATTATCTTTTTGTATGCAATGGTCACAAAACAAGCGTATTCTATCTGGGAGCAGGATTATACCCCCTCCCACCCCAGTCGTTAATGTTCCCTTCCTTCCCCCCGTCCCCGTCATTTCGTGAACGAATTGTTTATCCCCCCCCCCCCCCTCCATCCACGTCATTACCACCAAAAGTCTGGGCTGATGATTATACGAAACGAAATTTATGTCTTCCCCCTCCCCACCCCCAACCACGTCATTACCACCAAAAGTCTGGGCTGATGATTACACGAAACGAAATGTATGTCTTTTTGAATTTTCTAAACTACTTGGAGCTTCACTTCCTCCTAAAGATTTACCAAGAGACGCCAGACCTATATTATGTTTCAATACTTTCAAAAACTTTATTACGGTTTCTGATAAATTGGAGGTTAAACGTTTTGGTACAAGATACTTCGGTGACCTACTAGAAATATAGGTCAGCGGGAGATATTGACGTCCTGGGTTTTACACACGTCATGTTCGCTGGCATGGCGGTGACGTCAGTGAGCGTGTCGTTGGTACACAGGCACCGCCCCATCATTTGATTGGTTGTCATGTTGCTCGTGCAACTTTTCAAACGAGGCTCATAACTAGATATACAGTTGTACTCTCGTTTCCACTCCTGTTTGAAAGGAAATAAAATTTTAAAAAATGCTTACTCCGTACACTTTAATTATGGGCAAGGTAAAACTGACTGCCTTTATCTCTCTTTCTTTCTCCCTCTCTGTCTCTCTACTACCCCCTCTCTCTCTCTCTCTCTCTCTCTCTCTCTCTCTCTCTATATATATATATATATATATATATATATATATATATATATATTATACATACATGTAAGGCCTACAGATATAATACATATATAGAAATATATGTAAATATGTATCCTAATATATAATTCCCCATGTGCGCACCTCTCTCTCTCTCTCTCTCTCTCTCTCTGTCTGTCCACAAAATATTTTCGCCGGACATCACGTCAGAAACGGCAGCGATATATGGAGAATTTTATATGGACTTTTGTTGAAAATAATATGTTAGATGTTTTAAATGTATAACCACAATTTTATTTAAAGAAGAAAAATAAAAATTAAAGGCGTATTCGAATGTAGAGAAACAGTATTATTTATGCAACCGGAAAAGCATTAATAGATGTGAAAAAGAACGCATAAAACTGTGACGTCACTATTGCTTATACATTAACTAATGACGTCATCTGCCGTGTTTAGAATAAAAAGAAATGAACTATTTCATTCAAATTTGATTTAGATCTACGTACACTATGAAATGTATACAATACAATTTTTCCGGCCTAACCTCATAAAATTTATTTTATTTATTTGGATTCTAGATCTAGATATTCTAGATTCATCTATTCAAATAATACATTTCTATACTAAAGTATTTCAGGCTTTAATTACTTTATTGAAATCTTTGTTTATCTTTGCAATTTTCTAATCTCTATATTATATAAAGCTAAGTTGTCGGGTGTCCGATAGGGCACTTCCGGCGCCGCAGGCGCTTCAAATTTATCAGGATCTTGCCTTGGGGCGACAGAACACGGGGGCCGGTGCCGGTTGGCCGAAAAGTCTACGATGATGGGGTCAAAACTGACCTCGACTGACCGGCGTCTTATATGAGCTATAAATCGAAAAAAAATGTCCACGGAGGAACCTCTTCATAACTCATGAGGTCGTAGACCGACCCTCGGGCGAATTAATTAAGCATTCAAATTCTCAATGTTTTCGAAATCCTAAGCAAAGCTGGGCAGCATGCCTAGTATATATATATAAAGAAAAGAAACATATATATATATATATATATATATGCACATTGGTTGAGAAATTAGTACTAAATAGGACCAAAGGGTAGTATGTCATTGTTCATAAATCAGGTATCTCAAAACTTCACCCACCTCAGTACAGACTGACCAGGGCAGCGTCTCCTGCATTGACGCGAAGAAAAAATACAACGTGTAGGCCATGATGATGTTGTAGTAGATGGCGACGATGAGGGATATCAGACACATGGATATACCGACACCTGTACAATTAAGATTTTGTGTACGTGAATTTGTAATGGAGTTTAAGGATACATGTTTGATTACCTTTCAGAACTAGACTGGTAGAATCAACCTGACCTTTAGCACAAGGGTTCATCTCCCAGACTTTGGTGGGCCCCCTGCCCGAGTACTGTCCCATCACCAGCTCCATGAAGTACATGGGTTTGCCGATCAGAAGTTGTAGGATGATGTAGGCGATCAGGAAGGCGGCTGGCGAGGACAGGGAAATAACTCTTTACTAGTGAATATAGAGACAGGGAGATAACTCTCACCTGCAGAATATATAGTGTGTCTAGCGAGGACAAGGAAGTAACTCTTTACAAGAGAAAATAGAGACAGGGAGATAACTCGTTACTAGTGAATATAATGCGTCTTGTCTTTACTCTTTACAAACTATAGAGACGGGAAAATACATTTGCTAGTGAATATAAGGCGGCTGCTAGAAAAGGAAAACAACTTAACTAGAACGCTTAATGTGGCTACCAGAAAAGGGAAAGAACTCGTAACTAGAGAGCTTAATGTGGCTACCAAAAAAGGGAAAGAACTCTTAACTAAAGGGCTTATTGTAGCTACCAGAATAGGAAAATAACTTAACTAAAGAGATTAATGTGGCCACCAGAAAAGGAAAATAACTCTCAACTAGAGCGTACACGACGAACGGCGAAAACACAGCGAATTCATACATGATAATTTAACAAGCCTTACCATTTCATAGGAGCGGTTTGTCCACCAAAACAAAAGAGATCACAATTAACGCTAACATTCCAACGTATTACCTCCCCCGTTCTGATAGGCCAGGTACGGGAACCTCCAAACGTTGCCCAGACCAACAGACAGCCCGATGCAGGACAGGACAAACTCGGCCTTGTTCCCCCATTGTTCCCTCTCCTCTGGTTTCTTGCTTGTGCTTTGATGTGGGGCCTCGACATCTTTCTTACATGGAAAATAATAAGATAGCTGTAAGAAATATTATTTTCTTCTGAACATAAGATGTGTGCTACTTAAGTGCTTTGAAATATAGATAGAGCAAAGCTTTTATCTTTATTTCCATGAGTTGTGTGGATATGCATATAAAATAGCTAAAATAATAAAATAATATTGTTAAAAAGTGGTGTATTTTTTTTAGGGACTAGATTTTTTAAAATAAAAAGGTTTTTTAACAATCTTAATCTATTAATAATAAAAAGAAATCCACCTGAAGTAACTACATCTCAGGGAGTATAACATTACAAAATATAAACAACCCGACCCACACTTGTGTTTTTAATATATGCATAATCTCAGGAAGTGTTTCTTCCAGACTTTTACTCAGGGGGGGGGGGGGGGGTGGAGTGGGGGGGGGGGGGGGGCACTTGAATTTTTTCGGTGGGGGCGGACTAAAATTTCCGGGGTGGGGGCGGATACTAGTAAAAGTATATATTTTCTATATAAATTTTATTTCGTTCGGGGGAGGGGGGGGGGGTAGACATTTCTCGGCGTTTCGAAGAGATGCCTGGAAGAAACTCTGATCTCAGGATCCCTAATAGATTTGTAGATCGAGCGCTATTTCCATGCCGACGTGACATCGTTAAACAAACCTGATTGGTGGTACTGGTTTTTGTCTTAGCCATTGTTTGATTATAGACCGAACTCTTCTGAAAGAAAATATAATAACCGTAACATGATATAAATTTATGAAATTTAACCAATTGAGTATCTACGTGCATAAGGACTGAACTAAAATCAACACAGTTCATATCTCTGAGCATAATTTTTTCAAAAGTTATCTTTATAAATATCCAAAAGTGTTGGAGAAGACATAGGAATTAGTTTTAAACGTATTTTAAAAATAATTTACACTTAAGGCAACGATTTTCAAAATTTAAAAATGAGTTTTTGCATTTAAAAGCAAACTCAAGACTATACATATGATTACCTTTTTTAGTTTTTAGCCAAATCATTTAACAATAATTTACCTTTAAGACCAGTACTTTTATCCGAAACCATCATAATTATATACAACACAGCATTATTTCGTACAACCAAATTACGATTAGGGTGATTTAGGTTTAGCCACTCTATGTAAGAAACAGCCCAGCAGCTAGACTTAGATATGTTTATCAAAAAAATTCGTTGATAGACTTTACTTAATTAAAAAAGCCCGGAAAAACTCCTTGAAAATACTGAAAATATAGCCATGCATGACTGAAACCGCTTTTTGAATAGTACCATAAACTTAAGAAGGAATTCAGTAATAAATAAATCTCCAGAAACATACATTTAGGCAACATGATCTTGTTGATTGCTAGTTATAATCAGCTGTGGATTGAACGACTTAAAACTTTTCCGTAAATGACTTGACCGTTTGGTTTTTCCACTGATTTATAGTCCGTCATCACTTTTCAAATACTGCGTTTGATCGGTTTTGGGGCCACCTGATCTAGCCCCAGGGTGGGGAGTTTCCGATCTGGGGTGTGGTGTTCTAATTGTATCCTGGACTAGTGACGTTGTTGATCCCTTGTCAAGGTTAATTGGTCAGGGTCAAGTACACAGGTCAGAAGCTGGGGGACGAATACCTGTACATGTAAACATTGAATATCCGTGGATCGACTACCTGTACATGTAAACATTGAATATCCATGGATCAACTACCTGTACATGTAAACATTGAATATCCGTGGATCAACTACCTGTACATCTAAACATTGAATATCCGTGGATCAACTACATGTACATCTAAACATTGAATATCCGTGGATCAACTACCTGTACATCTAAACATTGAATATCCGTGGATCAACTACATGTACATCTCAACATTGAATATCCGTGGATCAACTACATGTACATCTAAACATTGAATATCCGTGGATTAACTACATGTACATCTAAACATTGAATATCCGTGGATCAACTACATGTACATCTAAACATTGAATATCCGTGGATCAACTACATGTACATCTAAACATTGAATATCCATGGATCAACTACATGTACATCTAAACATTGAATATCCGTGGATCAACTACATGTACATCTAAACATTGAATATCCATGGATCAACTACATGTACATCTAAACATTGAATATCCATGGATCAACTACATGTACATCTAAACATTGAATATCCGTGGATCAACTACATATACATCTAAACATTGAATATCCATGGATCAACTACATGTACATCTAAACATTGAATATCCGTGGATCAACTACATGTACATCTAAACATTGAATATCCGTGGATCAACTACATGTACATCTAAACATTGAATATCCGTGGATCAACTACCTGTCATCTAAAGAGTGAATATCCATGGATCAACTACATGTACATCTAAACATTGAATATCCATGGATCAACTACATGTACATCTAAACATTGAATATCCGTGGATCAACTACATGTACATCTAAACATTGAATATCCATGGATCAACTACATGTACATCTAAACATTGAATATTCGTGGATCAACTACATGTACATCTAAACATTGAATATCCGTGGATCAACTACATGTACATCTAAACATTGAATATTCGTGGATCAACTACATGTACATCTAAACATTGAATATCCGTGGATCAACTACATGTACATCTAAACATTGAATATCCATGGATCAACTACATGTACATCTAAACATTGAATATCCGTGGATCAACTACATGTACATCTAAACATTGAATATCCGTGGATCAACTACATGTACATCTAAACATTGAATATCCGTGGATCAACTACATGTACATCTAAACATTGAATATCCGCGGATCAACTACCTGTACATCTAAACATTGAATATCCATGGATCAACTACCTGTACATGTAAACATTGAATATCCGTGGATCAACTACCTGTACATCTAAACATTGAATATCCGCGGATCAACTACCTGTACATCTAAACATTGAATATCCGTGGATCAACTACCTGTACATCTAAACATTGAATATCCGTGGATCAACTACCTGTACATCTAAACAGTGTATATCCATGGATCAACTACCTGTACATCTAAACATTGTATATCCATGGATCAACTACCTGTACATCTAAACATTGTATATCCATGGATCAACTACCTGTACATCTAAACATTGAATATCCGTGGATCAACTACATGTACATCTAAACATTACTTTCAACAGGAGGTGGGGATGGAGCTGCATTTTTGGGGAGGGTGGAACTAGACTTATGGGATACTTGGAGCTAGTGTAAGTCGAGTTTTTTTTTGTTTCGTTTTTTTTTGGTGTGTGTGTGTGTGGGGGGGGGGGGTTGAATCTGGAGTTAAGTGGGGGGGGGTGTAGTAAGGCTACACTTTTGGGATGGTGGAAGCTGCGGAAAGGGGATGGGGGTAGTGGAACTAGTTTTGTGGTAGGGGAAATGTGGAGTAAGGGTATAATTGGAGCAAGACTTCAAAGCTTGTATACATGTTTTTCACCAACCGACTCCTAGTTGCGGAACCATGGAACAGAAATCTGGAGCGTCACGAACAAGCCTTAGAAGAATTGATCTGTATCAGCGGGCTCACGGCCACATGTCTCTACCCTGGCTAAACAAATACGTTTTGTTCTGATCAGGTCATGGGTGTCGGGCGTCTACATACTCGGAACGGCATGTCCTAGAGCCCCATTAATTTAATGGCTGAACATTATATACACAGGTACATCCTGTTTATCTGTTCTAAAGTGCCCAGTATGATATCAACAATGCTCAGGATTCTTTGGCCACTGCAATTCACATGCGTCTAATTTTTTCCGAATATTTGTAAGGTACCAATTAAAGCTCGGGACGTCCTGTGAGTTTTCGCCCGGGATCCGAACTTGATTCTTCCGTGTGAGACAGTCGCTGCCATCTGACCAAGCAATTTCATTATACATACATACATATATACAATAACATATGTATACATATATATATATATATATATATATATATATATATATATATATATATATATATATATATATATATGTATATATACAATTTATATAAATGCATATATATATACATATATATATATATACACACAAATATATATATATATATATATATATATATATATATATATATATATATATATATATATATATATATATATATATATATATATATATATATATGTACGAGACTTCAAACCAGCGGAGATCAAAACAATTTGGAGTACATCTGAAGTACATCTATACAAGGGTCGCTAGTTAACAAAGACCGCCCATGGTGATCAGATAAAAGATAAAAACACGGATGTGGGTACACTTCACAGTTCAGTTATTTCACATAAAGAAGAAAGAAGATAATGAACATATCATTGTGCAAAATGTAGACGCTCATGCATATTATTCCAATCAGGAAAGAACGAATTTACATCAAAACAAAATAACAAAGCCATACATCTTCATATTTTATTAACGTAGAACAATATTTCGATAACTTTCATTTTAACAAATAACTCAGCGGTTAATGACAACTTTGTGATTAAAATATTGAGTTTAAACACTCTCTTCTTCTATTAATAAGAATAACATACTAAAAGGCGACTCTACACCCTGCGAAACATCAATACCTTGTAGAATTAATTGAGTTAATTTTTAATGTGATATAGTATTACCAACTGTATGGTTGACATCATCATACAACATTGGTTTATAACGTGTTAAATACATTTAGATACACGAATAAGCTAACAATCTCGAAATACATTGAAACATAGAGTCTGGGGTTTTCTATACAAATAAAAAGTTTTTTATACATTTAAACCTACGTTTTCTATACAAATAAACAGTTTTTCTACATTTAAACTTACGTTTTATATACACTTCATTATTATAAAAATTAACATGATAATGAGATTGGAGAAATCATCGAATATAAATCATAACTTCCTGTATAACAGCTCTCTGAAATTCGCACACGTCTACAATCTCTAATACAAGCGCAAGTTATTTCAAAGTCTATTTCTTAGAATAAGTCATTTCAATACAAGATTTGTATCCGACAGTAGGTTGTTATAGAGAGACTTCACTGGTTATTCAGGTCACGTCCAGGCTGTAGAAGTTCCCCAAGAGATGGGTTCTGGTTTTGCTCAGTGTTCAATGGAATTACGCCCCCTTGTGTTGTGATCGTGAAGAATCCATCAGTTCTCTGGCTTGATTCTGGAGTAATTGTGGAGTTCCCAATGCTCGGTTTAGGGATAACGTCCGGTGTCTTTGTTGCTGTTGGTTTGGTAGCCAGCGACCGTTTTCGAATGGTGTCAGTGGTTTTCCCCTGTCGAATGGTGTCAGTGGTTTTCCCCTGATGTAGAGCATTGTGCGTGGAGCTAAGGGATTTGGCGGGATCGAATCTCGTCTGGGCTGAGGCTGGTGATAGGACCATGTCCTGGCTGTGTATGCTACCAGGACGTCGTGAGGACATGATGATGTCCTCTAAGTTGACCATCTCGTGAGGACCAGGTTTACGTAACAGGACGCCGTTGACATCAAAGATAGCGCCGGGCTGGACGTCTAAAAATAGATTTCAAAACTATAACATACCTGAACACTACCGTAATTTTTTCCCTTTTTAATCAAAATAACACCCAATGTTACACAAAATAAACATGTTTAGAGTTTACAATGTCTAGCCTTTAGGGATAACTTTCTACCACTGTGCTTCAAATCTAGTAATATCTATCCTCATTTTCTATAATTATATATCGTTTTCTGTTTATTGCTTTCTGTTAAATAAAAAAAAAAATTCGAGTCTGACATCTGCTCGACCATAGTCAAGGCAGGCTTAAAACGCCATTTAACATGATCAGTGCATTATTTCTAACGAATTCTGTCGAGATTCAAATTAGGGATCATTGCATTTATGTAGAAAATTTTAATATAACACATGTATTGGTATGTAAACCTACAACATCTGCCGCTAAGCATTTCATGTCTTTGATATTCCAAACTCTAATTCGAGTTAGCTAAAGTAATCTAATTTAACTAAGATTAGTTCCACTCTCGTTAAATTGCTAATCTTAATCTTAACACGACATACCCGGGCCAGGCCTAGCCCCACCGTGGTAGAAATGATGAACAACGGTCAGACCCTGGTCTTTCTTCTAATCTTAACCTTAACACGACCTACCCGGGCCAGGCTTAGCCCCACCGTGGTAGAAATGATGAACAACGGTCAGACCCTGGTCTTTCTTCTAATCTTAACTTTAACACGACCTACCCGGGCCAGGCTTAGCCCCACCGTGGTAGAAATGATGAACAACGGTCAGACCCTGGTCTTTCTTCTAATCTTAACCTTAACCTACCCGGGCCAGGCTTAGCCCCACCGTGGTAGAAATGATGAACAACGGTCAGACCCTGGTCTTTCTTCTAATCTTAACTTTAACACGACCTACCCGGGCCAGGCTTAGCCCCACCGTGGTAGAAATGATGAACAACGGTCAGACCCTGGTCTTTCTTCTAATCTTAACTTTAACACGACCTACCCGGGCCAGGCTTAGCCCCACCGTGGTAGAAATGATGAACAACGGTCAGACCCTGGTCTTTCTTCTAATCTTAACCTTAACCTACCCGGGCCAGGCTTAGCCCCACCGTGGTAGAAATGATGAACAACGGTCAGACCCTGGTCTTTCTTCTAATCTTAACCTTAACCTACCCGGGCCAGGCTTAGCCCCACCGTGGTAGAAATGATGAACAACGGTCAGACCCTGGTCTTTCTTCTAATCTTAACCTTAACCTACCCGGGCCAGGCTTAGCCCCACCGTGGTAGAAATGATGAACAACGGTCAGACCCTGGTCTTTCTTCTAATCTTAACCTTAACACGACCTACCCGGGCCAGGCTTAGCCCCGCCGTGGTAGAAATGATGAACAACGGTCAGACCCTGGTCTTTCTTCTCGCTGCTAGACTTTGGCTCCGTGACCTTGACTCTGTGGTGCTGACGTAGGCAGTTGACCCGGGCCTGGGGGAGACACTCTTGGGCCGACACGTCGAAAAGGTAGCCCTCGTCACACTCCATCTGTCAGAAAAATACGGGACTCGTGGGAATCTATTGTCACACTCCATCTGTCAGACACACAAACATGGGGCTCGTGGGAATATCTCATGGTATCGGACACGAATGACCTTCACCTCCTTCTATTTAAACATGACTCACCTCCACGCCCATGTTGTGCTCACACTCCCAGAACCTCCTACACAGCGGATCCCTGGCGTTCATCTCCCGACCCCGCTTGACACGGCACCTGTGCCCGAACTTTCTGGAATCTTCTTCCTCTGTCTCCTCTTCATCTTTCCCGTCGTTCTCCGCCCGATTCTTACTTTGAGACACACCCATCCGGTCGTCCTTCTGTTTCAGGCTCATGACGTCATAGTCTATGCCAAGCTTCCGGCTACGACTGTTGTACTCACGTTCGTGAAAGTTGGACGGGTCGTCGTCGTTGAGCAGCTCCATGAAAGTCTGGATGAGAGAATCAGGACTGAGGTTCAGACCCTGGTTCTGGGCGAGCAGAACGTGCTCAGTGTCCCTGGGTTTCCTGAGCCGGTGGAAGTGGTCGGTGGTGTCGATGAAGTTGCCGTTGGCGTCCAGGTAATGCACGTGCGTGCTGCCGTCGTGCGTGTGAGTAAAACTGGACACCGGTCTTTCCCCCGTGTAGGTGATGGCGTCCTGGAATTCTCGGTTGACACGTTCCTGCAGCCAGTGTTTGTGGATGGGGATGTTGCTCTGAATCTGAAATAACTACGTCTCATTAGCATTGTCAAGATCAACTAATTAATCTTGAATTATTATTTTAATTATATTAATTTAAAGTTATTTCTCTGGACAAAAATATCTCACATCTAAATAAGTATGTTCTAATTAGGCTATATTTAATGGGGTCTACGACAAATTCCCGAAAGACACTTGCCCGAATGCCGTTTGCCCGAAGGCCGATTTCCCGAATGGACACTTGCCCGAATGCGACAAAAGCCCGAATGGACACTTGCCCGAATGCGACAAATGCCCGAATGCCACTTGCCCGAAGGCCGTTTGCCCGAAAAATGTTAACATTATATATTACTAAATAATCATTCGTAATCAATTTTAATTTAAAATGTTGGTAAACAAAACACATCTACGCAAAAAGAAAGTGAAAAAAATAATATTATATATTACCACGCAGACATTTTAAATTAATTTGTATTTGATATTTAAAAAGTGTAGAAGCATACTTTCTCTTCCATATATGAAATTAGACAAAAATACAATGTTCATTCATCTCCGGATTTTAAAATGAGTTTTGCTTTCTTTATTAAGTAATCGCTTCAACACATTGTCTTAACAAGGTGCATTAAATGGAGATCAAACATATTTGACTACGTTTAGTTTCTAAATTTGCCACCTAGACCTCGCCTCATTCTTTTGTTAAATGATCACCACACAAGTTAAGCATAATAAGATAAATCAAACAAACGCGCCTCTGTTCAATGTTGCGAGACGCCGCGCCGCCTACACCATGTCATAAGCGCTATATAACAACCGCGACACGTCGGCTAAACAAGGTGTTCAAAACATTCATCAAAAGAATGTTAGAACACCGCCGCCAACATCACCCTATATTTATTAAAGAATAAAGTTTCTCTTACTGCACTTTCTTAGTTTTGAAAAAAAAGCTAAATTTAAAAATATAAACAACTTTGTTTTATGCTTAGAATTGTGTTTATAATCAAAGTTTAAAATTTAAATTGATTAAAGAGTCTATTTGGATATATTATTTATTATCTAATATTAACGTTTTTCGGGCAAACGGCCTTCGGGCAACTGGCATTCGGGCATTTGTCGCATTCGGGCAAGTGTCCATTCGGGCATTTGTCCCATTCGGGCAAATGTCCATTCGGGCATTTGTCGCATTCGGGCAAGTGTCCATTCGGGCATTTGTCGCATTCGGGCAAGTGTCCATTCGGGCGTTTGTCGCATTCGGGCAAGTGTCCATTCGGGCATTTGTCGCATTCGGGCAAGTGTCCATTCGGGAAATCGGCCTTCGGGCAAACGGCATTCGGGCAAGTGTCTTTCGGGAAAACGTCCGGCTCCCATTTAATGAATTCGTGACTGATTTAATTACTGAGATCTTGTGCTATCAATAAAACAGCATACAACATTCCGAGTGTATGTTACATATAACCAGAGTTTCTTCCAGAAGAAAGTCTATCCCCCCCCGAACGAAATGGAACTGATATAGAAAATATATACTTCTGACAGTGTCCGCCCTCCCCCCCCCCCCCCGATAATTGTTGTCCACCCCCCGAAAATTTCAAGTGCACACCCGGAGAAAAAAGTCTGGAAAAAACACTGCATATAACCACAGCTACTCATCATACCATGAAATTTGACTCTGAAAACTAAAAACCCATACCTGAACATTGAAAATAAAGGGACTTCATTCTATGATTAGACTAGAATAGAATAGTAAAATGCCTGTTTGATTCTAAAAATACTAAGAGGCTCTATGAGCGAAATGGGGGGTCTATGCCCTTGACCAAGGTACGGGACGCACATAAACCAAAGACCCAAGTTCAGACTCATCCTTCTCAACTGACACATTTACTTACCTAGCGTCTTAACTCTTTAACATGCGGTCCCTCTCCAGCTACCTATCTTTACCTGGGGTCTGACATCTAGACTCTGTCCCCACCCCAATCATGCCACCTATTCTTACCTTGCACCCCCCCCCCCCAAATAATGTCACCTATCCTTACCTGGAGTCTGAACGCTTGACGTTGCCAACCTCCACCCCCCCCCCCCCCCAACATAGCACCTATCTGAACTCTCGCCCCCCTCCCCCAAATACCTGGGGACTGAGTTATTTACTATGCCTCCCCATCCACCATGGCACCTCTCCTTGCCCCCCCCCTCCCCCGCCACATACCTCCTATCCTTACCTGGGGTCTGAACTCCTGCCAACCGCCCTCCTCACCACACACACACACATACATGTCACCAATCTTTACCTGGGGTCTGAGCTCTTACCTTGACCCCCCCTCCCCATACATATCCTCACCTAACCTTACCTGGGGTCTGAACTCCTGCCGCTGCCACCCCCCCCCCCCCACATGTCACCAATCCTTACCTGGGGTCTGAACTCCTGCCGCTGCCAGCCCCTCTCCTGCGCCCTCTGGAACTGCCAGTGACACCAGATCTCCCGGTTGGGCCGGCACTCCGTCCGGATAAAGTCGAACTGTGTGTTGCTAGGGCAACGTCGCAGGGTGCCCTCGTAGTCGCCGCACTCCCAGAATGTCTCGCATGACTGGTCTTCAGTGTTGGGCTCACTGCCCTCCTCGTACTGACAGTCATGGGTCAGTTGGCTGGACACTTGGCCCGACGCTGTTGGGAGATAGAGACATTCGTGGTTATAGGGGGATTGAGACAGTCCGACGGTGTAGGGAGATGTAAACATTCGTGGTTATAGGGCAGGGGTCGGCAACCTTTTGAGCGGGAAGAGCCAAAAACTACAATTTACATAAGTTTCCTGTTTGTAAAGAGCCACTAACATTTTTGTTTCAATATTTTGACATTCAATTAGGATTAGATACATACATTTTTTAGCGCAATTTCCATTCTGGAGAATTGCGTTTATTAACTCGTCTTTTCTGGGAATGGATGGATGGATGTGTGTCCGCAACTTTAAGTCGTATCTCCTCCTCAACGAAGCAATATCGAGGACTAGTTCCAAAGCAAATATGTTAAGCAAGTTACCGGGATGAACATAGGCTAAAAAAATTCCGGGTTTCTTTCATGAATATCCCGGAAAAGCCAAAAAACCTCGAAAAAAATGCAGTTTTTGGCCCATATCTCGGCAACCAGACCACTTAGCGACTTGAAACATGTACCAATCGATTCCTGCCATAATTTAGAACAATATTGCCGAAGAAAGTTTTCAAAAATATCCTTTCGTTCGGTCACAAATTTTTTTTTGAATTTATTAAAATTTGGACCGAATTAGTAGGCATTTTTATCCAACCACACCACACGCGTCATCACGTTCAAAAGCTGCGCCATCACGTACAATGGCTGCGACATCACGTTCGGTAGCTAGGCGCGCAATGGTTTTTAGTCATGTAACTCTATTGTAAATAAAACATGTAATATACTGGAATTTTTTTTAATAAAAAACGTTTTAATAACTAACCAATGGTTTTACTAACCCTGCTCTTGATTTACGCTACGACAGAGCTATTTTTAGATAACATAAGGAAATTGCGCTTAAATGTCACTAGACTTTTTAGTTAACTTGTTTTTATATTTGAAATAAATAGCTTTAAATATGAAATAATATTTATACTTAAAAAACATACTAATATTTCGCGCAAAACATTAACGTATTTTAGTTAGCTCTGCTATGATAAAATTAGTAATCAAATAATATAATTATATGACTATCCCAATCCACTTTACAAGCCTATAACCTTTTTCTTTCTTTGCGAACACCACTGGCTCGGGAGGTGTCTCCCATAGCCAGGCAGGCCTCAACACGACAAACACCGACTAACGTTTGGGTATCGGTTTGATTACTGTGTATTGGTCACTTCTGTCCTTTGGTTCTCACAGGGCTTATGTTCCACCACACTAACCTGTCCATTGCTTTTTTTACCTCACCTACTCTCATTGTTCTCTGATGAGTGTTTTGATCCTGTTTAAAGCTATTTTTCTTTATAATATTTTAATGAGTTTTTAAAAATAATATAAAATAATCATTACAATTTGTGCATGTAGCTGGAGAGCCGCATCTTGACATCAAAAGAGCCGCATGCGACTCGCGAGCCGCAGGTTGCCGACCCCTGTTATATGGGATTGAGACTAAGTCCGACGCTATAGGAGATGTACACTACATTAGTTATAGTACTGGATATATGCTCCGATGTTGTAGGGAGATATGGATATTTGTAGTCATAGAGTGACCAATCCCGACGTTATGGGAGGATTTAAACATTTGTTGTTATTTAGGGCTGGACATAGGCACTGACCTTGTAGGGAGATAGAGACATTCGTAGTTATAAGGTGATTTAGACCAATGCCGACGTTATAGAGAAATATAAACATTTGTAATTATAAAAATCTGGTTACAGACCACGACGCTAAAGGGAGATATAGATATTTGTAGTAATAGAGAGTTTCAGACGAAATCCGACGTTGTAGGAAAGTATTCACATCTGAGTATAAACCCATATTATTATAGGCCTTAATTATGCGCACTTAAAGGGGGGGGGGGGATTTTTTTTTAAAAAAAATAACAGAATTTCTCACCAAAATGTTTTTTAATGTGACAGTTTTTTGCCATAAGTTGCTGACCTCTACTTTGTATTAAAAAAAAGAAAAGTTGACTTTTCCATTAGCTTAAATAAATATTGCCTCCCTTGACAAGATGAAAATAAACACGCCAGCGCATGCGCGTAGCATGACTAGTTCACGCGCACCAAACACGGTCACCGAGTGATCAGGTCCCACCATTCAAGCGGAGATAACCAATTTAAATATAATTATTAAATAAATTCCAGAGTTCATGTTCTTTGTGTTAAAAAAAAACCAATTATTTAATTATGCTTTTTTTCCTACTTAGTTAACTGATGCAAGAAATTTAAGGGAGTAGAAATAAAGTGAAATTTTTACTGCTGAAGTTGCATTTTCGTAATAATCATTTGTGTTTCAGTAAATGCATATTTATTTATTTAATTAATTTTTTTCCAGTGACTGTACAAGATTGCCTCTAAGACTAGATTAATAAAAAAAATAAAAATAAACTTTGCTCTTAATTAATTTCAATATGAATAAAAGGATTTAAAAATGTGTATGGTAAACTAAAATGTGTAGGATAGGATTTAAATATCTGATTGGCAAACATTGATAATAAAGCTAACCGCACATTATACAAACAAGCAATTACGGAGGATAAAACGACTAAAAAAATGATGATTTAAAATTTTAAAATATTTAAAATAAAACAGACACGCACCTAAGAGTAGAGACAGGAAAAAAATTTCAGCAGCCATCCCAACGTTTGAACACAATAACAACAAGAGGGGCGTTGCTAGCAGGCTTATATAGCTTTTTTTTTTTACTTTAGCTTGTTGGTGTGAAACGTATTTTAACTCTTTGGTAACTTTGTACCCTCCTGACAAAATAGTATGTTTTCGTTAAAAACATTTTTAGCACTTTAAATCCTTCCTTGAGTTTCCATCTTCCTGATTTTGTACGGACCTCTATTGTTTAGTCACGGACACAGTTTTTTTGAGTTTTTAAAACAATGTGAGTAACCTCCCTTGGTTGTATTAGGGATATCTCTTACCTTACATGTCAATTTTGTTTCGTTTATTTTTTTTCCAGCATGCATTGTTTTAGATTACATGCCACTGTACAGGTTAAAAGTTGTTTCCCCTGTACAAGATAGAGATGGTAGCTATTGAGGAGGATATTTCCTTAGACAGCTAACGTTGAGAAACTGTCTTCCAAGCGAATGGATTTATACGGGGCCTGATACCATAATGGGATCTTCTTAAAATAGGCTTTACATACAAACAAAACAACTGACCCAATCTTTTTCAGTACTCGCAAAGCTGTTGTCTCGATACTATCAAGTTTTCATCATTACTACGTTTACAAAACCTGATGTTTTTGGTAATTGTTGCTTTTTGGTAAATATTGTTCAGAATTGGCTTTTCGCTGCCGTAGTGGAAGGTGCAAAGTTACCTGTGTTACCTGTTTTTTTACACCTGGCTGTCGTTCGTGCTGTTTAAACTGTCACCTGGTCACGTGACGGAAGAGCGTGTGGTAAGACCTGCCCAGGTAGATTATCAATAGTTGGACAGTAGAATAGATGTCAAGATACATGGGGTGTCCCACGGACATATGCTTGGCGACGGTTGACAGATGAATGAAGAGATGGAAGGATGGATGGAGAGATGGAAGGATGGATGGGGAGATGGAAGGACGGATGGATAGATGAATGGAGAGATAGAAGGATGGATGGAGAGAAGGATGGACGGATGGAGAGATAGAAGGATGGATGGAGAGATGGAAGGACGGATGGAGAGATGAAAGGACGGATGGAGAGATAGAAGGATGGATGGAGAGAAAGATGGACGGATGGAGAGATGGAAGGACGGATGGAGAGAAGGATGGACGGATGGAAGGACGGATGGAGAGATAGAAGGACGGATGGAGAGATGGATGGACGGACAGAGAGATGGAGGGACGGATGGAGAGATGGAAGGACGGATGGAGAAATAGAAGGACGGATGGAGAGATGGAAGGACGGATGGAGAGATGGAAAGATGGATGAAGAGATGGATGGACGGATGGATAGATAGAAGGGCGGATGAAGAGATGGAAGGACGGATGGAAGGACGGATGGAGAGATGGAAGGACGGATGGAGAGATAGAAGGACGGATGGAGAGATGGAAGGACGGATGGAGAGATGGAGGGACGGATGGAGAGATGGAAAGATGCATGGAGAGAAGATGGAAGGATGGATGGATAGATAGAAGGGCGGATGAAGAGATGGAAGGACGGATGGAAGGACAGATGGAGAGATGGAAGGACGGATGGAGTGATGGAAAGATGGATGGAGAGATGGAAGGACGGATGGAGAGATGGAAGGACGGATGGAGAGATGGAAGGATGGATGGAGAGATGGAAGGATGGATGGAGAGATGGAAGGATGGATGGAGAGATTGAAGGACGGATGGAGAGATGGATGGACGGATGGAGAGATGGATGGACGGATGGAGAGATGGAAAGATGGATGGAGAGATGGAAGGACGGATGGAGAGATGGAAGGACGGAGGATGGAGAGATGGAAGGACGGATGGAGAGATGGAAGGACGGGTGGAGAGATGGATGGACGGATGGAGAGATGGAAGGACGGATGGAAGGACGGATGGAGAGATGGAAGGACGGATGGAGAGATGGAAAGATGGATGGAGAGATGGAAGGACGGATGGAGAGATGGAAGGACGGAGGATGGGTTAGGGTTAGGTTTTAATTCAGGTGCCACTTGAGTACTATTTCGGATAGATGAATGAAATTTAACATTTAATTAAAAGATCTAATTCTCTACCTTCTGTCAAATTTTGAGTAATTTCCGTTGACCGGAAGTACTAATTTACGCTATTTCCGATTTCTCAATAAACGCATGTAAATTTATAAAGTACTAATAATATTGCGCACTATTATGCACATTTTTTTTGTATTCGCTTGGTGCGCAATTCTTTTTTCTATAAGATTCTATTCTATTTTTAAAAGTTTAAGTAATTAAAAATCATGTCTATATTCCAAGTTATATAAGAATATTCGAGAAAGCTTAGGGGAGATCACTCCCGGATTATTTTTACAAGCTTTTATTTAACTCACTTCCTCTGTCTGTCGTCAGTCTAGATCGAAACGCAGGAGTGAAAATTCGGACAGTTCTACTTGACCGATACGATTCACATTTAGCACGTGGGTCAAGACATGAAGACAATGCAATCTGAAACTAAATTTGACTTAATTGGAACTAGAAAGAAAAGCGTGGGTCTCTTCTCAAATATTAGTAAAGGTATCCAATAGGTACTAAAGTACTAAAGTGACCCACGCTTTTCTTTATAGTAATTTAAATAGTAGTGTATAATTTATTTTCTACTTTTTAGTGCATCATTACATAAAAGCTTGTTATTAAAACGTTTTTTTATGAATTTTTTTTTCATATTGTTGCGTTTTTCCTAAAACATCCTAGTGACTATTTATTCTATGGGAATTCCCGCGTAGTTATTCACTGCACCACAATAGACGCATTTACAAAAGCGTGCGAAAACTCTCTAATTTCAGGAAGTGATAAACTAATAAAAAATTTAAGGAGAATTGTTTTCTATTTTTGAAACACTTTTTGGAACTAATTCGTCAGCTAATTTTTTTATTGATACTTAAAATGTAAGGAATAAATGGGACATCATTTATATTGTTGAAACGGATGAAAATGTGCCTTTGATCATTTTGTCAAGCGCAGATAAGCGTAAAACATCTTTGAAAACAGTTTTAAAAGCCTAACAAAATGTAGATCTAGATATAGAAGGATATAGATCTATACTATACATTCACTATGATAAATAAACCGGAAGTGATCTCCCCTAAACTTTCTCGAATATTCTTATATAAAACAACAGGAGATGGGAACTCGGGATATAGACATAAATTTTAATCCATTTTAAATGCTTAAACTTTTTAAAATAGAATAAAATCTCGTAGAAAAAAGAATTGCGCACCAAGTGAACGCCAAATAAAGATGTGCATAATAGTGCGCAATATTATTAGTAGTTTATAAATTTACAAGCGTTTTCTGAGAAATTGGAAATAGCGTAAATTACTACTTCCGGTCAACTCAAAATTACTCAAAATTTGATAGAAGGTAGAGAATTAGATCTTTTGCTTACATGTGAAATTTTATTTATCTATCTGAAATAGTACTCAAGTTATAGGCTTTTGAAAAATTCAAAGTAAAAAGGTACCATTTCCGTTTATCGGAAATCGCTCTATCGTTAATACGGATCTACGATTTTGATAAAATACTTATATATGAAATGTCATCAACCTAGCTGTAATGGTACTCAAGTTATCGTGTTTACAGACACACAGACACACAGACAGACACACACACACATAGACATACGGACAAGATTGCAAAATTATGTTTTGCCGTATCAGTGACGTGTAAAACGTCGAGATTTCCAAAAAATCTCGATTTTTTTTGGCAAGATTACAAGACTTTCTCTATACTTCGTATATACGAGAAAGTACAAAAGTATGTAATAAAATAGAATTCAGGGATAAGTGGATACGTTTTTTCTTCTTGTGTATAGGGTATAGAGGAAGTGTTTTAATTAGACGGAATAATTTATTAATATTTTTTACAGACATATTGCTCGGGTTACAAGATATTTTCGTCGAATGTGGTGTCGCCTTTATTAATATTATATCTATAGATGGCTAGGCTGTATGGAAACACTGTCGGTTAGACCCTAAGCCCTGGATCTTCTTCTTCTTCTTCGTTCTTAATTATTAGTGTTAAAGGGGATCGAGATTTATCTGCCAGTGGGTTTGAACTCTAGACTTTGTTCGAATTTATCAACCATGAGCTTTTTGCCGACTCGACCACGCCTCCAACACAATTAAGCGTTACGTGTCAACTGGTTATGCGCCATTGAGGCCATTGACTCCGATTTCAGCCTGCTTTTTTTTTGGATTTGCTTCCATAGCCTTTGTCCAACCAAGAACAAACTACAAGGCAGCAGTTGTTTAATTTTGGAGTTGTCTCTCCTAGAAGAGTGGCTGTCCCCAGCTAACGAGCCTCATCTGCCCGAGGGTTCGAACTCGAGACTTTTCGGTTTAGCCCTGGATGAGGGCTAACAAATTACCGCTAGTGAAATTATCCAAATATGAGGTATATATTTTAAAAAAAAAAACGGAATTACCGCCTGCCGCCCTTATATTTTCTGAGTTCGTTAGGGCCGTTAGATTTGTCAAGATGTCTGGTGGTAACTTTGTTAAGAAATTTAAAAAAAAATAATTTTACACTAATTTCAACAAAAACAAAAGTGTCGAAGTATATTATTCGTTTAACTTTAAGTAAGACTTGCTTTATAAATTTAAGTATAAATCCTAATTAAATTATAGAAATTAGCTTTAAAAGTAAATGTTATATAATCTTTAAGTTATGCTATCAAGGAAGTCACTGAAGTTCTAATTATCTCTCGAGTAATACATTTGCAAACATTCTATCTTAAAAAAATTACTTAACTGCCAATCACCAATTAATTAATCATTCAAATTCTCTAATATTTCTTTTAAACCTAAGAAAGCCTAGGCAGTATGCCTAGTATATTATGTGTGTGTGTGTGTGTGTGTGTACATGATGAATACTTTATTCACCAAAATACAGGGTGCAATCAACGTTTCGTGGCTGAAAAATAATTATTCACCATTTATTAATGTTTTTTGTTTCTGACAGAATGAATCACCTAATGCAAAAAATCTTGGAGCTGTATTTTCTTTTGTCTTTCTGGATAGTTCTCCTAGGTAGGTTAATTCTAATCTTAATTTTTTTTTAAAATGCCGAGTATCGCTATATTCTGTATTGAATAGCTTTAATAACATTTAGTAAGCGACCAACATCTTCCATTTTAGTTATATAAATTGTGGTACAATATTGTATATTTAAAAATCAAACCTACTTCATTCAGTGTTTCTTCCAGACTTTTTTCTCCGAGGGGGCACTTGAAATTTTCGGGGGGGGGGGGGGGGGGGGTTAACTTTCTTCAGGGGGGGGGGGGACACTGTTAAAAGTATACATTTTCTATATAAATGATATAAATTTCATTCCGTTCGGGGGGGGGGGGGGCGGTAAAAAATTTTCGGGGGGCTTTGCCCCCCCCCCCCCCCCCCCGAAGAGATGCCTGGAAGAAACTCTGACTTCATTTCATCCTTTTAGTACATAACCATATACAAGCTTGTTTTCAAACTTTTAAAGATTGATTTTTATGGTTAGTTTGAAATTGAAGAAATAGACAGGCAATATTTTGTTTTTAACACGTTTTTCTTAACTCAGCTTCGCGTTTGTTTGTTTGTTTGGATGTTTGTTGTTAAAATTGACATCGAAAATTAGCCCACTTCTGATTGCTCTAGAGATCTGAAATTTGGCATGTAGGCTACTTTCGCCTAACAATTTCAGATGCAATCATAAAAACTAGCAATTAGAGACCGTAATTAGCTTAATTTAATTACGCCCCAAGGACCATAAAATTGAGGACATGATTTCTAAAGATACCGACAAGACTGGAGGCCTATTGACACAGTTACTTCGGCCCCAATCGATGTGAGCGCGCTGGCCGTGATCGTATAGTGGTTAGTACTTCGCGTTGTGGCCGCGACAACCCAGGTTCGAATCCTGGTCGCTCAAGATTTTTAGTCCGTGTATTTATAAACACTTAGTCAAGTCATACTTTATGAAGTCATTAGATAAAGTAGAAAATAAACTATATAAAAAACTTTTTTAAAAACCACGTTTTTCATGTGTAGCAACGGACTAAAAAGGAGAAAATAAAATACTTAAAAAAAACTTTTTAAAAAACCACGTTTTTCTTGTGGACTAAAAAATTGGAAATAAATTTTCATACATTTGATGACAAAAAACGTGGGTCGGGCAGATGGGTCGGGAACTTTGATGGTGAACGTACCCAGGTTTTTTGTCATCAAATGTATGAAAATTTATTTTCTACTTTTTAGTCCACAAGAAAAACGTGTTTTTTTTAAAAAGTTTTTTTAAGTATTTTATTTATTATTTATTTATATTTTTGTTTTACTTTCTAATTTACGAAATGTGAAAAGATGGTTAAGAAAATAACTGTTGATGTACTTTCTTCTGATTTTCAGACTTTCTTATTTGCATTCACCGACGGAAAATCGTCACTACGTATTCTGACAAATTACACATTAAGGCAAGTTTAAAACTAAATTTAAAATAAAGATATTAACTTGAAAATGTTATATACTATTAATTTATACCCACAATTCTGGATTGTTCGCAACCCAATTAAGTTTGAATAAAGAATACTTTGAAACTTGTTAAACGTATAGACTAGCATTACAATTTAATTTAGGTTTGAAACATTTTGGAATTTTAGTCGACATTCTTCTATTTCTCCATTCTTAACTAATGTCGGGGGGGGGGGGGGTGATTTTCTCAAGCACAATTAAGTATTTAGTGGGAGTATGTTATACACCATAAGGACAGTTGGCTCCAACTACAAGCTACTGTAAAACTAGGTTTTCATGTTAAGTAATGCAGAATAAAGATATTTTTGAAAATTGCCCTAAAGTCTTGACTTAAGAATAAGTACAAATATTGCATTAAAAAACCATAACATAATAAGTGATTAAATATAGAAGCATTCAGTTTAACAACATATTATAAGAAAAGCAAACGAAAGTTAGTTACACTTTAAAATCCGGATTTTCAGTTGTGGACGATGGCCCAGCGTGTTATGGTACTAGCGGCCTTGTGGATTACAGATTTATTTATGACGGCTCTTGCCTTTGTCTTAGTGCGCCGCTCTGGGCGACAAGGCGGCTCCCAGCGCCAAGACAACTCCAACTCTCCAAACAACTTCTGATCTTTTAAAACTAAAAATAATACAACTACAAAAATAAAATAAGCTATAAAAACCTATGTATGTACTTTTGTTGAATAAATTACTTTAACTCTGTTTTATCTAATTATATCATGGGTTCCCAAACTGGGGATCACGCCCCCCCCCCCCCCATGGGGTTGTAAAGGGCTTTCTGGGGGATCGCCAACTGGTATACTAAATCCTGGCAATTAACATCACTGGAAATGGAATGGAGAATAAGCAATGTGTACTGTGCAAAGTTCTTCTCAGTCATGAGTTTATGAAACATTTAAAACTGACGAGTCATTCAGAACACACCAAAAAGATGTGGGGTTCTCTCGTCGGCATGAAGTTTGTTGCAAACGTAAGAGACTTGATCGAACAGAACGTTTTCACCAAGGAAACACAGCATTAGTGCAAGCATCACATGAGGTCGTATTAGAAATTGCCAAGCAAAAAAAACCTATCACTCAACAGAAGAAAATCTCATCAAACCCTGCATGTTGAAAATGGTGAAATTAATTCTCTGGGATTCCATTGCAGTAAATATGCAACAAGCATCTCTGTCTAATAATGCTATGCAGCGGCATATAGTAGACATGTCCGTAGATGTTAAAAAAACAAAATTTGAATGAAATCAAACTTTCACCATTGTTTGATTTTCAAAGTTGATGAATCAACAGACGCGAGTTTGTGTTCGCAGTTCGCAGTTGCTTGTCTTTGTGAAATATATTCATTCAGAAGATAGCAAAGAAGAGTTGCTATTTTGTGAAGATGTAAAGGTGAAAATGAATACGTTTTCTTTTTTAAAAACTGGGTGATTAAAATGAGAAAACCACTATGGGTTTGTACGGATGGTGCGTCATTGTTTGGGTCAAAATCGGGCTTTCAGAAAAAAGTAAGAGTTAGCTCCCTAATGAAGGGAAATCCACTGCATTATTCAGCGGTATGCCCTCGCCAGCAAGACTCTTCCGACTCCATTGCTAATAAAAGTCGTAAATTATATTAAATCTGGAGCCCTAAACACCCGTCTGTTTCAAGAACTGAGAACAGTCATGAATTAGAATAAAGAACACTACAGTACGCTGGTCCCTGGCTGTCAATATCAAATAGCAGGATGTCTTCGTTTATGTCGCCCTTACCACTAGAAAAACAAATTGCTTTTGCCTTTTTGAAAAATTGTGTTTCCCGAAAATACTACAACGTCGAATACATCCACTCTTTATTAAAAAACAATAAAAAATCAAACGGTAGGGTCCATTTAAAGTGCCTTAGCTTTGGATGACTATTTAGTTTAAATAAAAAGATTTAATTTGCAATTTTAAAATTAGTTATTGTTATCTAAGAATCATTTTACAAATGGGCGGCATGACGAAAGTTAAACTTAAAAAGAAATTAAAATAGTAAAAAACTAAATAACAGTTTTTTTTTAAATGAAGGCTTTATTTTTATATAATAATTAAAATGTTGCTATTTAGAAAAAGGTTAATCAAACGTGGTTGAAGTTTGTTCACTGAAGATGCTTTCTCTTGTGATTTTCTTGTTCATTTACTTTGTACTTTCTCGTGTACAAAGTATTGAGAAAGTATTGTAATCGTGCACAAAAATCACATTACATTTTGGCAGTTTTAACCGCTTTACACCTCAGTCCTTCATCACATCCGGAGTATAGAAGACTTATTTTAATCGGGCAAAAATAATAAATCCAGATATATCAAACTTTTGGCGTTTTATGCTTAATCGAGTCAGAAAAACTGATGTTTATTTTGGTTTTAGTTGTGAATGATAATGTTGCCTTTGCCTATTGGAACTTAGCGGGATACAGGGCAGGTGAAGTAGATTTCACCTGTTTCTTTGTCCTCAGTATATAACGTGGATATTGTCGTCAGAGCCATGCTTGGCCGGAATAATTTTTTTTAAAGATAAAACATGTTGTCTGAGACTTGGCGGAACACTGGGCAGGTGAAGTAGTGTTGGGTAGGTGTAAAGATCACCTGTGATGACAGCATATGAAGAGATAGTGTCTTCACAGACAAAAACATGTCTGAGTTGGGAGGACACTGGGCAGGTGAAGTAGAGTTGACCTGTTTTTGTGACCTCAGCATATGAAAAGATTTTGTTGTCAGACCCATGCGCAGACGAAGTCAGTGTTTTAAAAATACAAAAACGTCTGAGATGTGACGCCTTTTTGAATGTGGGGTCTGGTTATTTTGTGATGATTAGTGACAGACGTGGTGTCATTTATGGATGACCCCCGAAACCCACAGTTATCTAACTAGATAACGGGTAGTCTAGTTAATTTTAATTTAGACAGTCTCAAGCCAAACATCACTCAATCAGCCCTCAAGTATATTAAAATTAGAACAGTCTTCTGTTTCCCAGGTTTTTAAAAGTGCACAACCTGAATGGTAGAAAGAGATACACCCCCCCCCCCCCCACACACACACTTACCCCCACTCAACCGTACTGGCGGATATTTCAAGGTATTGTGCCCTCACCGCCAAGGGTCAATTTTATGTCATGGAAAGTTTTGGAATGATAGATCAGTATGAGTATTACAGAGACACTTCTCCCACGGTCGTTTCTATTTCTGTCCATGGGTGGCTACAATATGAACATTTTACTCCGTAGCTAAGGACGGAGCACAGTAAACTAAGCAGTCAAGAGAAACCGAGTTTGCACACCTTATTTTAGTCTAGTTCTTATGCCATTTTATTTTCTCCCTTTGATTATTATATATGCAATTGATGTTCATGTCTTTGATGCTGTGTAAAATTATCAAATAAATTATTATTACTGATTTTAATGTTTAAAACAATTGAATTAATAATAATAAAAAAACAACAACTGAGGACTGTATAGATATAGATGTTTGAAAGGGAAGAATGTTTGCTTTGATGTGTCTCATTGTAATAACATAACTTCTCCGATTGCTTAAAATGTGTATCATTTTAATTCTCTGTAATCCCAAATTTATTTCAGCTCTATTTAAAAACCCAAATTCCACCACGTCCCCCTCCCCCCCCCCCCCCTCAGCCCACCACGCCGAGTAAAAAAAAAAAATCCCTAGAATCATCATTTTATTACACATTTGCATTTCCAAGTTTTTTTTTTTTTAATTTTTTTTTAGCGCAATTTCCATTCTGGAGAATTGCGTTTATTAACTCGTCATTTCTGGGAATGGATGGATGAATGAATGAATGAATGTATGGATGAATGTGTGTCCGGGCTTTAAGTCGTATCTCCTCCTCAACGAAGCAATATCGATGACTAGTTCCAAAAGCAATTGTGTTAAGCAAGTTACGAGAATGAGCATAGGCCATAAAAATTCCGGGTTTCTTTCATGTATTTCCCGGAAAAGCCAAAAAACCTTGAAAAAATTCAGTTTTTGGCCCATATCTCGGCAACCAGACCACTTAGCGACTTGAAACATGTACCAATCGATTCCCGCCATAATTTAGAACAATATTGCCGAAGAAAGTTTTCAAAAATATCCTCTCGTTCGGTCACAACTTTTAAAATTACATAAACACCTACAAACCGATCGTTCTTCTAGCTTGAACGCACCCAAGCATTATACGTCAGAGCTATTTTTAGATAACATAAGGAAATTGCGCATAAATGTCACTAGACTTTTTTAATTAACTTGTTTTTAAATAATTGTATTTTCCATAAAACAAAATACAACATATTTATATTGACATGTTAACATAAATTTGAATGAATAAGTACATATGTTATTAATATACAGTAAGACGGTGGAAATACAACATTTTTACAATTTTCTTTTATACTTAGATGTTTTTTTTTTTTTTTTTTATTAATACTTTTATTTGCAATTAAAACAAGTACATCAACATCACATTTTTTTTACATAGTTTCAAAAGAAAACGAAAGGTTTTAAACATGTACATAATGAATTTTTACATGATGTCATGTATATGATTATAACAAAAATTACAAAAGATGGCAGTAAACGGGGTGAAGGTCAAATAAACGTGTCAAAAGTCTGGGTGGGGAGTGGAAAGGATATTTTTCCGAGAATGACAAAGGGCCAGTGGAGCATTTTCAATGTAGGGAAACAAATTAAGTTGACTAGTTAAAAGAGTGTTTATTTATGTACTGGTCGCATTGAGTTTTCAAAAGGTTGCTGTGTAAAAAAGGAGGGGAAAGAAACAAGATTTAGAACTTTAAAAAGTAAATGAATAGATATTCGAAATTGATGTTGGGGTGGGTGGTGGGGTCGTTGGAACAGTTAAAGGGAAAGTGGTGTTTTCATGTCTGAGGGTAAGTGGATAGAGGGGGAGAGGGGGGAGTGGGTAGATGTG